AGCTTGTTCATCCTCATCCAGATCAACACAGCAGCCAGGCACTGGTCCAGTATCTGAGAGGCTTCCTTGGATTCAGGTGGAAAAAAGTAATGGAGTTGGGTGTCATCTGCGTAGAGGTGGCACCACACTCCATAACTCTGGATTACCTCTCCCATGTAGATGTTAAATAGCATGGGGGACAAAATAGATCCTTGCGGGACCCCACGGGTCAACGGCCAGAGGTCTGAGCAGGTGTCCCCCAGCTTCACCGACTGGGAATGACCCTCCAGGAAGAACTGGAGCCACAGTAAAGCCGTACCCCCAGGTCCCATCCCAGACAGTCTTCCCAGAAGGATACCATGGTTGATGGTATCGAAAGTCGCTGAGATGTCCAAGAGAATCTGCAGGGTCACACTCCCCCTGTCCAGTTCCCTGCGGAGGTCATCCACCAAGGTGACCAAAGCCATTTCGGTACTGTGCTCAGGCCTGAAGCCAGACTGCGAACGTTCCAGAGAATCAGTGTCATCGAGAAATCCCTGGAGCTGCGCAACGACCACCCATTCCAGAACCTTGCCCAGAAAAGGGAGGTTGGAAATTGGTCTGTAATTGTTGCAGATGGTTGGGTCAAGGGAGGTCTTTTTTAGTAGAGGTTTTACCACCGCCTGCTTAAGGCAAGACGGGAATTTCCCCTGGCCCAAGGAATTGTTTCTTATAGCAACAAACCAGTCCAACAGTTTAACTGGCCAATTTAACTAGGTTTAACCCATTGTGCCACCAGGAGCTCCAGTGATATTATTGTAAATAACAGATAGTATATGCATTCTATTCAGAGTAGACAAACTCTTACTCCTTGCTAGGGGTTCCTCCACTGGTTTTCCTTGCTTACATTGTTTGAATATTTCATGCTGAGTTGGCAGTAAGACAACCTTAGTTCTTCTTTTGAAGATCAGTAACAAGAAGCTAAAAATTGCGTGCTTCTTTGTCCTTCCCAGTGCTCCTCTCCCATCCTGCCATACCTAATCTCCGTTCACCTCACCCTGTTTTTCTTTAACCATCTTTCTAATGCTATGAATGTGAGAAACACTAATGTACTGAAAGGCAGCAATATGTGTACTTTGCCCTTTGCTAAGCAGTGTAAACCAGCTTTGGAAGGTTGAAGTATAAAGTCTTTGAAAAGGATTAGATATAAGGCAAATACACAATTTTCAAAGCATGGAAAGAGAACTGTTAACCATGTTAGGTGGAAGCATTATATATAAGGCCAAATCTCCTCTGTGTATTTTATAGGGTTCTTGGTAGTTGTGCAGCCTGCATTATGTGTGCTAGTTGAAATGAATTGTGCCTGCTTGCAGCTGTTATACCAATAATTTCTAGTCCCTGTTAAAATTAAATGTTTTTGTTTTGGTTGTCGCAGGTTCCTTTCTTGATTGTAGCTTTTTTGGTACTAAATAAAATATTCTGCGTGGCTTGAATCTCTTTAGCGGCTTCTGTGCCACAACAGTTTTTACTAAATATTTAAAGGAACTCCTAAATTATGCAGATTAGGGTGCTTTGGCTTCCTACAGTCCTTTCATATTAATTATTCATTATGTGGTAGCTAGGCATCCAGACACAGGCATGATTAGTTCAGACAGCCTGGAGCATTTAAAGCTGGCAGAAGAACTGAAACGCCTGTTCCTGACTTTGGAACAAAATCCATGCAGTTGGACAGAGAGGAAAAAGAAGACTTACTTCCCTCACACTTGCTCATTGACCAGAATGACACACACAAATACTTTGCAGTTTATTGGTGACATCATCCCATTTGCTTAGAAGAAATGCAGGAGTTTCTATGTATCTCTGAAGGAGAATGAGTAATGCCACAAAGCAATTCAACTGCTTTATTGTAGAATTGGCTGCTATATAATGTAAATAGTGTTCTTGTTTCCCCATCCTTGTCTGTTCCATGCCAAATAAAAGCATGAGTAGGCAAAAAGTGGACTTTTAAAAAAGTAGTTTGAAAAACTGTTTAATTCAAATAATAAAATACATAGAAAAAAGTAAGACACACCAGAACATAAGGGAAACTTTGAGAAAAATTAAATGCAGAGACCAAAATGCTCGAATGCAGAGAACTCATATGAAACTGAAATCTACAGCATTTAACCAGAAAAGAGATATTTAGAGATTGTGATACATAGTTGGAAGATGGTAATAATCACTATATTGCAAAAGTTAATAAAAGTATGCCTGAGTTTATAAAAGGAATTGTATATTTGATTATTTCTAACATCTCTGATGTGTGTTGTTATTTCTTCTATGAAAGCTATAACATAAATTTTATTTAAATTGTGGGTACTTTATAATCTTTCAAAATCTGATTATAGTCATCCTGGCCGGTAAACATTAGGGTGTTTTTTTAAAAAAGTAGGTTCTCATTTTCTTTTAGAAAAAAGTTCAAAATCAAGAACAAAATGAGTATACTTAATTCAGTGTCTGTTTTGGACAGAGTGAGGAAATCAAAACTTGCTTTTGGGAGGACTTGGAAAGATACAAAGAATGAATAGAATGATATACTGCAGCCATCCATAATTGAGCAATTTTTGGTTGATGCTCTGAGCAGTGAAATAATAGTGGGACAACTATAGCATGTAATTGTGTTGATTCATTTGGAAAGTAAACTTTCCAAGCTCAGTTATTTCAGTAAACCTTAGAACTGTAAGTTGTGACTGGGGAATGTCTTACATAATTCAAATACAAGTAAGATCAAGTGACCCAGAAAAGAACAAATTATACAGGGTGTAAGAGTCAGAAATTATCGGTAATCTAGAAAAAAGAAAAATGTGTTATATTCAGTGTACACTCTCTTGACCATCTGGTTCTTGTGCCCAGGACTAATGCCAGTTTTCATGTGCTTTCTTTGAAACAAGCTGCTTGATTTAAGCCAATAAACCCAATCTCAAGATTTCATTTTCAGACAGGATACAAAAATCTAACTCCAATTAAAATGACCAACTTAAGTTTTCTCATTGAATCAATGAAAATTGTATTAGTGGTCAATTACTGTCCTTCAACTGATTCAATGGATTTGCTTTAGTTGCATACCCTGGCCCATTTTTGAAGAGTAGCTGTGTTATGACCTCTTCTCATGGCAAAAGGGAAGGTGTGCGGGGCTGCTGCTTACCCCATCATATGGTGGGGATGGTACAGTGCATTGGCACTCTCCCCATTTGAAATCTGTTTCAAATGGGGAAAAGGGCAGCAACATGTGTTACCCTGCCACCCTTTCCCCTATCATATATGGAAAAGGGGAGGAAAGTGTGGGTAGCTCCATCAGAACTACACAAGACACTTTGGGAGGAATGTGGGTGGCTTGCCATGCATCATGTGATGGTGCACAGTAGGCCCCGTCCATGCTAAAAAGTAGCTAAAATGCCCATGTGAAAAGAGGTCCCTAGTCTGTCACAACAAAAATCCAAAGAATGTGTCATATCTAAAAGACCCAACAAATTACACCTGGCATCAGCTTTTATAAACTACTGCCCACCTCATTAGATGCATGAAAATACTGTGAAGCAATGCTTTTGAGTTGGAAAGATTAGCTGTTTACAGAAAACGTTGCCTAGGGGATGCCCAACTCAGTATTTAGTCAGTCTTTGAGGAGACAATTTCTGTATCTCCCGTAGGTCCAAGAGCTTGAACAGTGTTTCCACCCTGAATATCTCGGCACTATCTTAGATCGAACACTAACATTTTGGAAACACTATGCGAACACCAAGCACATAGTAGCTGCATGCAATAACATCTTGCGGAAACTTACTGATAGCGCATGGGGTACAGACCCAACATTAATAAGAACACCAGCCCTGGCCTTGTCTTACTCAACTTCTTAGTATGCCTGCCTTGTCTGGCACAAATCTGTCCATGCAAAACAGGTAAACATAGCACTGAATGAAACATGTGGAATAATCACAGGATGTCTTAAACCTTCACCTGCTGATAGACTTTTTAAGCTAGCTGGGATTGCCCCTCTGATGTGTGATGGAAAGTTGCTGCCAATTGTGACAGAAATAAGGTTGAACACTGTGAAAGTCATACAATAGGTGGTTTTCACAGTGTACAACCTTTCACCGTGTTCAACTCTTAACCTCTCAGCCTCCTCCCAGTATATCAAGGAAAAGTTTCATGAGAATCACCACTCCTCTTAATGTTCCTTAAGCAACAGCAAGAATATCCCTGTGGACAGAAAAATCAGGCAATTTCAACTGGGTGTTCTCCTATGAGGATCTTCCTCCAGGGGAAAACCAAGAATGGGCAATTTTGAAGTCCCTGAACAGACTCAGAAGTGGAGTTTGCAGATCAAAAGACAACCTGGCAAAATAACACTACCTAGAATAATCCTCCACCTTGTGTGATTGTGGAGCAGAACAAACAACTCCGCATCTGTGTGCTTGCCCACAATGCTCTGCCTCATGCACACAGGAAAACTGTTTAAAGCTACAGACAATGTGGTCACTGTTGCCCATTTTTGGTCTAAAATGATTTAGCTGATTGTGCTCCCTTTATTTTACCAGTTCTATATTTACTTATTTGTGCAATGCTTTTGACATAAAATAAATAAATTAGATGCATGGAGTGTTGGTACAGTAGGCATATTATTATATACTTTCTGCTAGCATAAGATGGTGGAGGATGTAATTGATTGACAGAGAGAGAAAAAGTTGAAATGGAAAAAATTGATTTTTTGAGAGAGACATTTCAGTTTTCTCTTGCCTATAATAATCTGCCAGGTGAAGCAACATTCCAGACTTCTGATAGAGTCTTCATTCTATAAAAAGTAAGGCCAGATAAAATGTATTACTACCCTGTAAGATATCATGAAACTCGTACATTTATATGATACTATAAAGTCATAGCAGGCATGTGTATCATGGTGGTATCAAATCAGATGTGGAGGAAATTAAATTGGACATTGCTTCATTGGTTTGTTTTGACAGTGTCTCTGCCTTTTTGGACTAAAGTTGTCTCTGTCTGTTTTAAAGAAACTACCCAGATAGAAGATCCTCGAGTCCAATGGCGGCGGGAGCAGGAACATATGCTGAAGGACTATCTTGTATTGGCACAAGAAGCCCTGACGGCACAGAAGGAGATCTACCAGGTCAAACAACAGAGACTTGAACTGGCCCAACAGGAGTACCAACAACTTCATGATGTGTGGGAACGCAAGCTGGGGTCTCAAACTAGCTGTAAGTGTTTGGCTGCTTTTGGTGATTCTCATTTTTGTTGTAGTTACATTAAAATGAGGGTGGCAACTGTAACCAGGTATTGTTGGACTGTAAAATCTTAAAACCCTTAGCTGGCCCAAACAATGGTATTACAGTCCAGAAATATCTGTTGTCAATCTCTGTGCTGGAATAATGTTCTTTATTTCATTTGCAAATACAGTGAGTCATAGAAAACATATTTAAAAGGGAAACCAAGGAATAGAAGAGTCTGGCGTCATTCTTATACTTCAGAACTACATTTTACAAAAAAAGCTTTCTCCTGCCGCTTCCTTCCATTCTTGCTCTTTACCTTTCCAATCAAAGATAATAGGTCTAAGTAATACTCTAAATCTTTCAAAGTGAACATTGTGCTTTGTCTCATTCAGGTCTTAGTGTGCTTTTAAACTTTTTCTTTATTTCCTCATTATTGTAGTAGTTTCGAGTTCCTCATCCAGCTCCAAATATGATCCAGAAATTCTTAAAGCTGAAATTGCTACAACAAAATCTAGGGTAAGGAAAAAAACAAAATATATTCTTAGAGTACTTGAGTGAGAAACATTAATATTTACAGTAATAAAAGATGAAATGTTCTTTGAGTTGATACTTTCTGCATAATAAGGGTAGACAAAATATAACCCTCAAGTATCGGGGATTGTGACCCAACATATGTAAAGGGCATTACTTTGCAGGAACCAGGAATTTTAAAGGGATAATACATTTGAGAGAAGAAATGTTTGAGATGATGACATTGATAGTATTGTAGACCATGTTTTTGATACAATTATTGGACTCAGATGTCTTTCTACAGCTCCTTAATTGACAATTATAACACAGTTGCTGCCACACACTCCTCAGTCTCCACTTTTTTCATTAATGTCTTACCACATTCAACTTTTTGGTGTAAACATCATGGTTTTCTGTCTCAATTGTAGAACAACTATGATGTTAACAAATTGGAATGCTTAATCATGATCCAGAGACAGATAGAATGAACACAAAGTGCAAATCCCATATAATCCCACAGAATCTAAATAATATTATCTCATTTTTCTGTTAAATTAATAAAATATCAATGGGTTACTTCGACATTCTTTAAGATAGATGTCTTTGTTATGGCTCATAACTACCAAATTACAATACCAGTCTTAGTATACATATAATATCATGTGCATTGATAAGGAAATCCCATATATCTGTACATCCAAACATACATAATTATGCATGCTGACTTCTGTACAACAATAAGTCAGTTCCATTTATTAAAGCCTCTTTTTAAAAATGGAATCACTTTCAGACATCTGCATGCATATATTACTCTGTATATTGGTTCAATGTTTTTTAAAATTCTCTTATTACTAAAGTGATACATAAGTAATACAGGAATAAAAGAGAAGCAGTTCTGTGAGCTGATAATTTTTATGTAATAGAGGTAGGCATAGTGCAGGAATAGTTTTAGTATTACATCCAGACTTCATGCTGAAATATGGTTTAATTGGGCCTGGATTTCCACCTGCTCATGTTAGCCCTAATCTCACATTTTGCAAAATTAAACAGAGATGTGGGACAGTCTAGCAACTCAAGATACTAGGAATCAGAAGAGAGAACTCCATAAGGGTTGCCTTGGCCACATTTTATTTACTTATTTATTTACCATACTTGTATCTCGCCTTTCTCAACCCCTGTAGGGGACTCAAGGTGGCCTTACAAAGGCAACAATTCAATGCCGCATATACATAGATCAATGCATAAACAAAACATTAAAACCATCCAATTAAAACAACAATTAAGATCACATATTTGAGGTCATATTCCAAGGCCAGTCCGGGTCGTAATTAAAATTAATTTATAGTCTCTTATTGCCTCGCTCCCATTATTGACCAAGAGCCTGATCCCAGAGCCAAGTTTTTAGTTTTTTTCTGAAGGCCAGGAGGGAGGGGGCCCAATCTAATTTCGCTGGGGATGGAGTTCCATAGACGAGAAGGCCCTGTCTCTCGGCCCCACAAGACATGCTTGCAAGGGAGAAGGAATGGAGAGCAGAGCCTCCCCTGATGATCTTAGGAGATGAAAGGAATGCCAGGATCTCGGAGAAGGATTATTCACATTTTGTTGAAATATGAACTGGAATTCATGATTACAAATGTGTATTCTAACATACATTTGCAACTGATTCATACTCATACTTCAATAGTATAGGGAATTCATAGGAATTGTAAACGTCCCTCAGTCCTGATTTTACTGGGCAGCAGACATTGTGAGTGACGAGAGTGTGTTTTCCCACTAATCACAACACAGTAGACTGGTGTTCCCTCCTCATTTCCATGAGTGATCACTGCAGCAAGGAGAAAGTGCAACCATGATCTGTATATGCAAATAAACAATTGCTGAGGTTTTAGATCAGCTGCTTAATTAAGGATACTTAACTAAGGGCCCTTCTACACTGCCATATAATCCAGAATATCTAGACAGATAATGCACATCATTTGCTTTGGACCGGATTATCTGAGTCTATACTGCCATATAATCCAATTCAAAGCAGATAATCTGGATTTTATTCAGTTGTGTAGAAGGGGGTCTAAGAGGCTGATCTAAAATTTAAGCAGTTTCTTACCATGAACCTAAACTAGAATTGTATTATTCAGAAGTACGTTTTACTGAATGCAAGGAGATTTACTAATCAAAATAAATAGCTGTTGATTTAGTTAAATTATTTTTCTGTGTAAGTCAAGCAGGGTATATTTCAAGGATAATAATGAGTTAAACATTGTTCTGACAGATATGTTTATCATAGCAGACAAAATAACACTGCTTTGCTTTTTCACAGGTTAATAAGCTCAAAAGAGAAGTTGCTCACATGAGACAGGAACTCCAGTATAAGGAACTTGGTTTCCAAACACTGAAGAAGTAAGTTAACAGTTTTTCTGAGCTACAGGGAAAGCTCTGAGAACAAAACTTTTTAAAAGTTCTGGTTTATAACAGGGATTGTGCCAAGGATAAATATAATGAATTATTTGTCTATTATGAAATAAATAAAATGGTTTTTATTCTCTCCATTGCCTTCTCTTACACAAGATTTACAGAACAAGATCTGATATAAATGCCCATAGGCATGAAAAGTTAATAATAACTTCCAATAACTTCCAATTTCATTTTGACATTGGGATCTTGCATACATATTTTTTAGTTCTCCAATAAGGACAAATTCTACACAAAATGCATTAAAGTTCAAAGTCTTTTTAAGAAGGTTGGTCCCTGAAACACTGCAATCCACATTTCATCATGACTGAGGATTATTTGGAACATGGCATCAAAGAAGAAGTTTAACACAAAAGTTCTATCCACACACCTTAGTACTATTAAGTTGTGTTTGCCCTGTTTCTCAAGAGGGAGGTAACCCATCTAGGGGGGAAATGTATATTGCAAGAGGGAAAGTTATGGTAAAGTGGCTTTTTTGCCTCAAGGTATACACATTTAGAGGCCAGAAGCCTTAATGCATTCATGTAAAGTACCTTTCTCAGTCTAGTTTACGTAAGAGTTCTCCATAAAGTGTGTAGGGATGCTGTATCTACAGGTTTCTGTGTTTGTTGAGTTCATGTGAAGCAGATCACAGTAAATGCAGTGGGTTGTGCTTCTTAGTAAATATACATTGGACCAGGTTGAATGTGATGATGATAACTTTATGAAAAAGAGGAATTGATTCAGATCCTCTCTAATATATAAAAGATATTTGTTTAGGAAATCTTAAAGTCAGGTTTTCAGTTTAAGAATTTACAAAATTGAATTGATTATATTTTAAATTTGGTACTCCACCAAGTAAGCAGAATGCCAGTAAATCCAAAAGAATTCATTTTGCTCCTTTTTCATAAACAGAAATCTATTGCTCTTAGAACTATTTCTTGATGTAACATTCTTCTAATTAACAATCATTTTACCTCTTTTTGATTATTTTATATTCTACCTTGAAGAATTGATATGAAAATGTCTGATACACAAGGTGGATATAAACTTGATGAGGCACAAGCCATCCTAAGTGAAATGAAAGCTATCAAGAAAGCCATAATGTCAGGAGAACAAGAAAAGCAAGATCTCATTGAGGTATGTAATCGGTTTGATAAGCATTTTGTGCTGAGTATATCTTTACTGTTTGTTTCCATAATTGGAAATATAGAAATGTTTGTTTTGAGCTAGTACATAAAACTAGCATTTTAATGAAAAGTTTATTTTTAAAAATGGCCATAGCTTTGCATTTATGCTTCCATACAGTAAAATACTCCAGCAAAGGATCACCACCTTGTCGGGGCGCTGGAGCTTGAGCACCTCAATGATGTCATGAGCGAAACCATGAAGGGACACCCAAGACGGGACGGTTGTGGCAGAGAGGTCAGACCAAGCGTGATCCCTGGGGAAGGCAATGGCAAACCACTCCAGTATCCTTGCCAAGAAAACTCAATGGACCAGTACAACCAGAGATATGTCGGTATGCCATTGGAAGATGGGACTCCCAGGTAGGAAGATGGCCAAAATGCTACTGGGGAGGAGCAGAGGATAAGTTCAACTAGCCCCAGATGTGATGACGCAGCTAGCTCAAAACCGAAAGGAAGGCTAGCGGCCGACGGTACTGGAGGTGAACGACGAATCCGATGCTCTAAAAATCAACACACTATAGGAACCTGGAATGTAAGATCTATGAGCCAGGCAAATTGGATGTTGTTATTGGTGAGATGTCAAGACTAAAGATAGACCTTCTGGGGGTCAGCGAACTGAAATGGACTGGAATGGGCCACTTCACATCAGATGACCACCAGATCTACTACTGCGGACAAGAGGAACATCGAAGAAATGGAGTAGCCTTCATAATTAATAAGAAATTCGCTAAAGCGGTGCTTGGATACAACCCAAAAAATGACAGAATGATCTCAATTCGAGTGCAAGGAAAGCCTTTCAACATAACAGTGATCCAAATATACGCCCCAACCACAGCTGCTGAAGAAGCAGAAGTAGATCAGTTCTATGAGGATCTGCAGGACCTACTGGATAATACACCAAAAAGAGACATTATTTTCATTACAGGAGACTGGAATGCCAAGGTGGGAAGTCAAATGACAACAGCGATCACAGGCAAGCATGGTCTGGGAGAACAAAATGAAGCGGGACGCAGGCTGATAGAATTTTGCCAGGAAAACTCGCTGTGTATAACAAACACTCTCTTCCAACAACCTAAAAGACGGCTTTACATGGACTTCACCAGATGGTCAGCACCGAAATCAGATTGACTACATCCTTTGCAGCCAAAGGTGGCGGACATCCATCCAGTCGGTGAAAACAAGACCTGGGGCTGACTGTAGCTCAGATCACGAACTTCTTATTGCTCAATTTAGAATAAAACTAAAGAGATCGGGGAAAATACACAGACCAGTTAGATATGATCTCACTAACATTCCTAGCGAATATACAGTGGAAGTGAAGAACAGATTTGAAGGACTAGATTTAGTAAACAGAGTCCCAGAAGAACTATGGACAGAAGTCCGCGACATTGTTCAGGAGGCGGCAACAAAGTACGTCCCAAAGAAAAAGAAAACCAAGAAGGCAAACTGGTTGTCTGCTGAGACACTGGAAGTAGCCCAAGAAAGGAGGAAAGCAAAAGGAAACAGGGATAAGGGGAGATATGCCCAGTTAAATGCGCAATTCCAGAGGTTAGCCAGAAGAGATAAGGAACTATTTTTAAATAAGCAATGCATGGAAGTGGAAGAAGACAACAGAATAGGAAGAACAAGAGACCTCTTCCAGAAAATTAGAAACATTGGAGGTAAATTTCAGGCAAAAATTGGTATGATAAGAAACAAAGATGGCAGGGACCTAACAGAAGCTGAAGAGATCAAGAGAAGGTGGCGAGACTATACAGAAGATCTGTATAGGAAGGATAATAATATTGAGGAGAGTTTTGACGGTGTGGTGAATGAATTAGAACCAGACATCCTGAGGAGTGAGGTTGAATGGGCCTTAAGAAGCATTGCTAACAACAAGGCAGCAGGAGACGACGGGATCCCAGCTGAACTGTTTAAAATCTTAAAAGATGATGCTGCCAAGGTGATGCATGCCATTTGCCAGCAAATATGGAAAACACAAGAATGGCCATCAGACTGGAAAAAATCAACTTATATCCCCATACCAAAAAAGGGAAATGCGAAAGACTGCTCCAACTTCCGTACAGTGGCCCTTATTTCTCATGCCAGTAAGGTAATGCTCAAGATCCTGCAAGGAAGACTCCAGCAATACATGGAGCGAGAGTTGCCAGATGTTCAAGCTGGGTTTAGAAAAGGTAGAGGAACGAGAGACCAAATTGCCAATATCCGCTGGATAATGGAGAAAGGCAGGGAGTTTCAGAAAAACATCTACTTCTGCTTCATTGACTATTCTAAAGCCTTTGACTGTGTGGATCCTAATAAATTGTGGCAAGTTCTTAGTGGGATGGGCATCCCAAGCCACCTTGTCTCTCTCCTGAGGAATCTGTACAAGGACCAAGTAGCAACAGTAAGAACTGACCACTGAACAACAGACTGGTTCAAGATTGGGAAAGGCGTACGGCAAGGCTGCATCCTCTCACCCAACCTTTTTAACTTGTATGCAGAACACATCATGCGATGTGCGGGGCTTGGATGAATGCAAAGCTGGGGTGAAAATTGCTGGAAGAAACATTAACAACCTCAGATATGCAGATGACACCACTCTGATGGCCGAAAGCGAGGAGGAGCTGAGGAGCCTTCTAATCAAGGTGAAAGAAGAAAGCTCAAAAGCCGGGTTGCAGCTAAACATAAAAAAAACCAAGATTATGGCAACAAGAATGATTGACAACTGGAAAATAGAGGGAGAAACTGTGGAGGCCGTGACAGACTTTGTATTTCTAGGTGCAAAGATTACTGCAGATGCAGACTGTAGCCAGGAAATCAGAAGACGCTTACTTCTTGGGAGGAGAGCAATGTCCAGTCTCGATAAAATAGTAAAGAGAGACATCAGACTGGCAACAAAGATCTACCTAGTCAAAGCCATGGTATTCCCTGTAGTAACCTACGGATGTGAGAGCTGGACCTTAGGGAAGGCTGAGCGAAGGAAGATCGATGCTTTTGAGCTGTGGTGTTGGAGGAAAGTTCTGAGAGTGCCTTGGACTGCGAGAAGATCCAACCAGTTAATCCTCCAGGAAATAAAGCCCGACTGCTCACTGGAGGGAAGGATACTAGAGACAAAGTTGAAGTACTTTGGCCACATCATGAGGAGACAGGAAAGCCTAGAGAAGACAATTATGCTGGGGAAAGTGGAAGGCAAAAGGAAGAGGGGCCGACCAAGGGCAAGAAGGATGGATGGCATCCTTGAAGTGACTGGACTGACCTTGAGGGAGCTGGGGGTGGTAACGGCCGACAGGGAGCTCTGGCTTGGGCTGGTCCACGAGATCACGAAGAGTCAGAGACGACTGAACGAATGAACAACAACAGTAAAATAACTCTCTGTTTGTCCTAACTAGCACCATGCTCCACCTTGTAAAAGAAATCTGTTCAATAAAAAGCTTTGAAGAAGATTGGTTATTGAAAATGTTCCCATTGGCATTAGGGTCAGCCTATTCTCTTACAGTTTTTAATAGTGAAATGTTTTCTTCAAAGCATTAGGGCAGTACTGATTTTGAATTTTTCCTGTTCCAGAATCTTGCTAGGCTGAAAGCTCATTTTGTGAGAGACAGAGGATCGCCTTCAGATTTGTGGACCAGCAACATATCCTTGGAAGCTTCTACATTCTCATTACCTAGACAATATCTGGATGCTGGCTCCCAAACAGATGTTTCTGGAAATGTATGTAAAAAAGTAAACTATTGTCTATTTTTTGCATTCCACTAGAGTTATTTCAAGATCTTCCATTATAATCCAGTGTACTCATATTGGTTCCATACAGAATGCATAAAAAAGATTTTGTGGCATTTGTTGGTGTCCCTGTGGAATGGCATAGTGATTTAAAATGTCTGAAATGTGTGTCACGTCTTAGCCTTTCAATGCTAATATTGAACTTGGGCTCTATCTAAGATATCTTGGGATATCTTAATGTATAAGAGAAATGTCTAATTTCCAGAAGGAAAGTTCACTGACATGCTTTAACTTTATATTTTGCTTTTTTTAGTTTATTGCAAGCAGCAATAATCAGTTAGCTGAGAAGGTGAGACTGCGTCTCCAGTATGAAGAGGCTAAGCGAAGGTAAGCACAGTTTTCTTTAATGCTACTGACAAATCATTAACCAGTAGTTTCAGCAGGGAAATAAACCACTATTTTAGGGAGGATGGATGGTGTGGTGGTTTAAGGTTGAACTAGGACTTTGGGAGACCAAGGTTCAAATCTCCTCTGGCTTTGAAACTCATGGGGCAATCTTCGGCATGTCACACTCTCTCATTCTCAGAGCAGGGCAGTGGAACACCTCCTCTAAAGCAAGCTTCCTGACAAAATATTGTGAGAAGATTGCCAGTTGTTGGAAGGCACATGTTGTTCATTTGTTCAATCGTTTCCGATTCTTCGTGACCTCATGGACCAGCCCATGCCAGAGCTCCCTGTCGGCTCCTTCAAGGTCAGTCCAGTCCCTTCAAGAATCCCATCCATCCATCTTGCCCTTGGTCGGCCCTTTTTCCTTCCATTTCCCCCAGCATAATTGTCTTCTCTAAGCTTTCCTTTCTTCTCATGATGTGGCCGAAGTACTTCATCTTGACCTCTACTATTCTTCCCTCTAATGAGCAGTCGGGCTTTATTTCCTGAAGTATGGACTGGTTGGATCTTCTCGTGGTCCAAGGCACACTCAGAACTTTCCTCCAGTACCACAGTTCAAAAGCATCTATCTTCCTTCGCTCAGCCTTCCCTATGGTCCAACTCTCACATCCGTAGGTGACTACGGGGAATACCATGGCTTTGACTATGCGGATCTTTGTTGCCAGTGTGATATCTCTACTCTTCACTATTTTATCTAGATTGGACATTGCTCTCCTCCCAAGAAGTAAGTGTTTCCTGATTTCCTGGCTGCAGTCTGCGTCTGCAGTAATCTTTGCACCTAGAACTACAAAGTCTGTCACTGCCTCCACGTTTTTCCCCTCTATTTCCCAGTTGTCAATCATTCTTGTTGCCATAATCTTGGGTTTTTTGATGTTTAACTGCAACCCAGATTTTGTGCTTTCTTCTTTCACCTTGATTAGAAGGCTCCTCAGCTCCTCCTCACTTTCGGCCATCAAAGTGGTGTCATCTACATATCTAAGGTTGTTAATGTTTCTTCCAGCAATTTTCACCCCAGCCTAGCATTTGTCAAGCCCCGCACATTGCATGATGTGTTCTGCATACAAGTTGAATAGGTTGGGAGAGAATATACAACCCTGCTGTATGCCTTTCCCAATCTTGAACCAGTCTGTTGTTCTGAAGGCACGTAGCAACAACAATACAATTGATTCCATGAGGTAAACTGGAGAGTGCATTTGATTAAGTCAAATTCTTATGAATTTACAAATTGTGTGGCTAAAGTTCACAGATAAGTAACTTTCTTCTAAGTAGTTTGCAATATATGAATGTGAGAAAATCCATGCACTCCCTGTATGATGGTTTGTTTAAATTTTATAAACAGTATATTGTAAGGGCACATTAAATCCTGTTGTTATTTTGAAACTGAAAAAATTGCGAAATATTAAGAACAAATCTAGCCTTTTGTCATATACATAAATGATAGAAGTTATCAAATTACAGCTGAGCAATCCTCTTAGGCCATATACCCTTTACAAATACACAAAGGAATTCACGGATTACAAACTAATGTCATTGCTAATTCATTGCTAGAGCACAGTGTTGGGCTTAATCAGGCAGTTGAATGTTAAAATGGTTGCAAAGAAGGCTTCTGTGCAGCTTGGATGGATTTCTAATAATTAAAGACTTTAAATTAATTAAGCAACGGCTTTCCTGCTATGGGAACAAGCTCAGTAGTTCTAAAAAATGTGTCCTGAAATGTGGCTCTGCATAAAGCATTGGCTAAAGGTTTGGCATGCTATAGTGTGCGAATAAATTAGGAACCCATATATATATAAGTGGTGAGAACTCATCCTTAATTATCAAATTGGGACATAAAATATTTGATCAACTTTTTTGTACCAATTTTCATGTGGCATTTTATAATATCCTCTCACATTGACATTTAAAACACTACTCCTTGTTTATAAATGTATTCCTCGGTAATATACATGATGTTTACAGAATTAATTGGTGTTCCTTCTTCCACAGAATAGCAAACTTAAAGATACAGTTGGCTAAACTGGACAGTGAAGCCTGGCCAGGCGTGCTAGATTCTGAACGGGACCGATTAATGTTAATCAATGAGAAGGAGGAACTTCTGAAGGAAATGAGGTTCATCAGTCCTAGAAAATGGACCCAGAGAGAAGTAGAACGGCTGGAGCTAGAAAGAAAACGTCTAGAAGATGACCTTCAGGCTGCAAGAGATACACAGAGCAAAGCTTTAACAGAAAGGTAAGCTTTTTCATTTTAACATCTTTTTAAACTGATGTTTTAGAAAATGCTGGTGGTAGTTTTCTCAACTTATGTGGCAAAATGGGATGGTTTCCCTCTGTTCCTCTGAAATAATATGTTGCAGACAATGTAGAGGAAAGAATGCACCAACCAATACATTGCATTGAAGTTGTAGATGCTCAGATAGCTCATAGGGGAGCGTTCTGTTTTTAGCACTGGCTTAAGATTTAGAGTTTTCATCTCACATGATTCTTTCTCCTATGCACGCATGTTTCAAGCCACTGAAGTGATCTTCTGTGACTCCTCGCCCATCCTCTTTTAAAATGTGGTCTTATGGGCAATTTGTGCTCGCTTGCTTCACTTGATGCCCCATGAGATAACTGGCAGGCAAGGGAGCATATATCCCATGCCACAGCATGCAGGCTCCTGCTCTCAGCTATTCCATTATTCAGGAGAGAGGATTTCAGTGTTTGATCCACGTGGTTCATTTGGGGTTCATTTGTTGACATTTTAGAATTTTAGAGATTTGTGCTGAGGTCATTCTTCTTGACATTGATTCCAGTACTGAAATATAGCGCTATGCTGCTGGCAAAATATATGCTTACATAGCATATCCATGAGGTTGCTGAGTTCAGAGTACTACTGATAGATTCATGGCACTACTGGTTTGAGAGTTTCTGGTGGTGCCTCACTTTAACATTTAAGCAGAAACACTACCTAACAACTGCAAAGACATGTAAGATTTGGAGCTATATTTAAATCCAACTGCTCTTTTAAATGCTATTCCCATAGGAACTGAAGTGTTAGAGGAACGTAGTTTGACAACCAAGCTATCAAGTAGATAAAAGCTTCTACTTCTACTCAATCTTCTGTAATTCTGCTGGCTACTTAAAGAAAAATACAATTTTAGCCTAGATGCGTTGAGAATGCTTCAGCTGGAGTGTTAGTCCCATGAGAAATTGCAATAGTAACAGGATGATAAACCTGTTCTGCAATCGACATTCTTTAGACCTGGTTTGTAGGTGGGTAGTGCTAAGAGAGTCTGCAGTCAGGCTCTCCTCACTAATAATACCATCTTTCATTTATTTGTTTGTGTGATTTTATAGACTTCTTCCTCTACATAATTAACAGCTCACCCACACATATGAACTAGAGGTATATATGTGAAGTTGAAGTCGTCATACATCAGAAACATTCCAGAATTCTAAATTTCAGGTCTTGTGCAAGTTACTAATCTATTATTTTTCTTTAGGATTATTATTATTATTATTATTATTATTATTATTATTATTATTATCATCATCATCATCCCTAAATAGTATTACTTAGAAAGGAGAAAATCCTTTTTAAAAAAAATCATTCCTTGTAACCTCTAGATAGGTTACTGAGTCTGTCAGGGGTGCTTTGAATGCAATTTTCCAGCTTCTTGTCAGGGGGTTGGACTGGATGGCCCATGAGGTCTCTTCAAGCTCTATGATTCTATGAGTAGTTACAGATTATCATTTTCTCATACACCCTACCACACACATTCATGTGTTCCAGATTTATCAAAATGTTTTCAGTTCATATGAAGAGATGGTCATGTTACAAGCTGCAGGATATCCCAGTAGAAGGGCTTATGGTAAACAAACCTTTGTGCAGATAGTCCCCTTTGTTCTTTGGACTGAATGCAACTTGACTCCTTCACAATTTTCCCTTTTCTTGGAAGCATAATCAAGGGCATTATAGTTACATTACTGGGGTCTCGTGCTCCTTGTATGACATGAACCAAAATTGTTCCTTGGAGTGTTGAGAACTAAAAGAATGCTCCCAGATTCTCTACAAAACTTGGAAATAATTAAAAGTACCTAATTATTTATATCTAACTATTTTCAGCAATAACATTTGTAATATATCAAAAAGTAATAGCATTCTGCTTTGTGGAATGTCTTGAGTTTTAGATACTTCTATAGTTAAAGAGCACAAAATACACAGATGTGTATTTGTAACTGTTTTATGTGTAACTATAGAAGTATCCAAAACTCAAGACATACCAAAAAGAAGAATGCTATTAGCTTTCGGTATATTACAAATGTTACATAGATGTATTTTGTACCAGCATTTGGCATTTTATTATTATAAATAATTTAGTATTATTTTTGAATAATTAGATTACAGGGTTGCTTTAGAATTATAATTTAACTATAACTAACAAGGGCAGGAAGATAGACAATTTGACTACTGTCCAAGCTCTGATCCTTTGAACAAATCACTGTTTATTCACATCGCTGTGGTAGCAAAGTTGTGTATGGCATGAATAACTCACTGTGAGAACTGAGGTTATATATGTCCACTTGATTCATATTGGCAAGTACAAATATCAAGGTGACTGGTGTTTTGATTCCATTTTAAAGATAATACTATAAATCAGTGGCTCTCAACCTGTGGGTCCCCAGGTGTTTTGGCCTACAACTCCCAGAAATCCCAGCCAGTTTACCAGGTGTTTACCAGGTGATTTTTGGGAGTTGAAGGCCAAAAAATCTGGGGACCCACAGGTTGAGAACCACTGCTATAAATAAACATACACATGTGGTGATTTTAATGGATCATGAGTGTGTGACATGTTTTAAGATCACCTTTCAAATATTTCTCATCTCTAATGAGTTTGCATAAGGTAGTAGGACACCTTCAGTATTCTTATGCACCTATGAAATGCTAATCTTGCCTATGTGAGGAATCTATGTACCTTTGATAGCTTGCATATAAAAATCAGGTGTCTTCTGTACATAAACTGTAGAGTGCGGAAGTACCCTTTAAAGTACCCTAAAGATGTTTGCAACAAATAAATGGCTGTGCTGAAGCCTGGTATTTGGTGGTGAAGAATGTTAAGGAGTATGGGGAAGAATTATATTTTTCAGTAATTTAAAATTCTACTGCTGTTGCTATTGCAGCCACTACTGATAAAAACAATAAAAAGTACATTAATCTAGAACCAGAAATAATATTTCTCTGAGTAAAAATTTTTTTGTTCTCATCAGCTTATCTATTCTTGCTCCAGAGTTACGATTAAAATGTTTTGTTTGCTCCTATAAAGTTAGTGAATAAGACTTGTAACAAAGTGCAGCACAAGAGGTCGCTCACTGGATTCCTGTTGATTTTCAGAGATGCTGGTTCAGATAGGCTTAAAACTTGTTTGCATGACATTTTACACTCCCTTTTAAAAATCTTTTCCAGACTTAAGTTAAATAGTAAAAGAAATCAATTGGTTCGAGAACTAGAAGACACAACACGATTAGTAGCAAAATTGCACATCCAGCTGAAAAAGTAAGTTTTTTTTTAAATAAAGGTCTCTAGATTTCTTCTCTTTAGAGTCAAGATGATGATGGTACTGATGATTAGTCTATATATTATATCTTTCCTAAAAGGAGGCTCAAGGTGGTATACAGTAAAATTCAATTATCGTACATAAAATAAATCATAAAACCAATTCATCATAAAAGATTACAGTGCAGTGTAAAGCTTAGTATGAAAGAAAACACATCTGTCATTCATTTGAAAGACATACTAACAAGTCTTGCCAACAACCTACTTAGAATTATGGGGATATACTTTAATTCCTGTAGTTTGCTTTATGGTACGCATGTATCAACAGACAGCCCATGGCCAATATAGGCAAGGAGCCTCTCTTCAAAATTGCCATGAACCACCAGCACAAGCACTCACAACTGGTTTCAAAGTAAACCCATGTTATCAGACTTTCTAAACATAAAAGAGATTGCTTCTTGCACCATTTACTGCAACGTTCACTTTATAAGCAAAATAAAAACACATAGCAATCAATGTCTGCAAACATCCTGCTTGCTCCACGTTTTCCCCAATCAAAAGACTGATTCATAAATAATGTGAAACTAATATTCATTATAAAATGACAGCATGAACAGGTGCTTTTGTTTAAGGTTTTCCTGCAATAAAAAGCCTCGTGATAAGTCATGTCTGTATCAATCATCAGTCTGGTGATCATTATATCACTTCCTTCATGTCTCTTGAGAATTGGTACTATAATTCCTTCCTCTTTAAATTATCAAATAAATAGATAAATTATTAAGTAAATGAAATAAAAATCTTTGTGCACATTTCTTTCAAAATCCAATGTAGTGCTCTCAGATATGCAAGATCACAAAATGCTTACTGTGAATACTTGTCCTCTTTTGTTGCATTTGGGTACTACTGCCACTACCAATCCTTTGGGTAAATACAGTTGCATAAGAACAAAATCATAGCATTGGAAAGCCCCCACCCCTTCCAGGCCATCAGTCCAATGACTTCATCACATTGAGAGGGGAAAGCATGGATGACCATCCTTTTCGCATAGAGAATTGACCCTGTTATATTGTGAGCAGTCACGTTTCCAGTTCTGCCTCTCCATAATACTCACACATGAAAACTTAAGAGCTGGCAGAACAGTTATCTTACATTCATCACAAGGCCAGTATTACTTTTTTTTTAAATCAGGAGAAACAACATATCCAAAAACGAAGAGATACCTTGTCCGGCCCAAAGCTCCTTACATTGAAATAGACTGACACCAGTTTAAAACCACTTCTTTCCATGGGATCCTATTGTTTTGCCCCAAACCCCATAGGATACAACAGCCAGTGATACAGGTTAAAACTATTCCTTTCCATGGGGCCCTATTGTTCTGCATCAAACCCCATAGGATACAAGCGACTGCTGATAATTGGGCAATGAAACACGATGGGAAACTTTGATTGTTCCCAATCCTACCTGTTTTTCAGTTGTAACCATGAGAGTAAAGCGTGATAAGAGGTGGGAGCTCTGAACATAATTGTCAACCCATGTTCAGTGGTCCCTCCATACAGGATATTTCTGCCTGTTTTCAACCATGGAACATGTGATGAGTTCTGTGCCTCTCCATGCTTGAAAAGAGGCTGAAATGTCCTACGAGGGGGAAATTTCTCAATGTGATGAGGTCAATTGCCAGAGATCCCTCCTCTTTTCAATCATGGAGTGCTATGCATTATGGCCGGAAGTAGTTTAACTCATCAGATGAGCTCAGTTCCTCTCCATGAGGCTGGAGTGTCCTATGATTGGGAAATTTCTTAATGTGATAAGGTGGCAAGCCCTATTCAGGGCACGGTCTTCAGCTGGAGCATCCCCAGCAGGTAGCTGTCTGACTTCTTTTTGAAACCATCCCAAGATGAAGATCAAAGACTTTCTAGTTAGTGGTTTCAATTGCCAAAATAAATTCATTTTATTTAATTCCTTTTAAACATTTATGTATCACTTTGTCATCAGTACAGATTCCAGGGAAATTTAGTTCCTTACATGGTATGCTTAGCTGACTGATAGAGAAACAGATTGAGTACTGTTTATTTCATATTTGCTGTAAACAGAAAATAATCCTGATTTTCAAGTTTGTGTCATTAATACACTATTACTAATAGTTTTGTCCTAGAATCAGTAATTTTCAGAATTTTTTTGTTGGCAATTGTGAATAAAATTGCAAAAAAGCTTTAATAATTTCACATTCTTCATTAAAAATAACTTACATTTCAAGACATTTATGCAGCACTTTTCCATTACTGGTGGTTTCAGCAACATGAGAAGACTATAAATAGAATAACCTGAAATAGTAAGAAACACAGTCTGTGAGATCATATCCCAAAAATCTTACCATAGATCATACACAACAGTTTTTTGCAGGGCAACATAAGGTTATGTGTAAAAGGAAATGAATCTCTTGAAGTAGTAACCTTCAAAATCTATTTTAACTCAACATTCAGTTATTTATTATTTATTTAATGCCATCTATTTTGAAAATTACTCAAAGTTGTGCCCTCTCTTCCATCATCACAACAGTCCTTTGTGATTTATTTCGCTAATAGATAATGAGTCTTTATGATTTGGTTATGAGAAAACTCCCAGTTCATTTAGGATTTTGTGACTTAGGATTTCTCAGGACAATTCATGCTTAGTTCAAATGTTTCTACTTCATTTGTTATTATTGTCTCCAGCCTGTCGTCTAGCATGCTTTCCTTGTCATCTGGCAGCAGTCCTGGCTCTCTTGCATCAAGCAGGGGATCTCTGGCCGCCTCAAGCCAGGATTCTTCAACCTCAGCCAGCTTTACGGATCTGTTTAGTGAACAACTGGAACAGCTGGACTCTGACTACCAGAACAAAATGGACCTTTTGCTTTTGGAGAGAGCTGCTGGGTTTCGGCCTTCTGGCTGCATCACTACTATCCATGAGAATGAGGTTGTAAAGACTCAGAGGGCAGATGCTGCTAGCCGTGTACAAGCCCTAAGATCCCTGTCTGGCACACCAAAATCACTGACATCTTTATCCCCAAGATCATCCCTTTCTTCTCCCTCTCCACCTTGTTCTCCACAAGTGATGGACCCATTCTTCACAGGAGATGCCTTCATGAGTCACATGGACTTTGATGATATGGAAATAAACAGTGGTTTCTCTGAACTTAGTTTAAACACTGGAAGTGGCAGGAAGTACAGAACAGAAGAGTCTAGAACTGGAGACAAACACCTGGAGCAAGGTAGGGTGATTATTTCTCCCTTACAGTATTATGCTTAAGGTATTTTGATACAGTATTTTTAAGCAAAGCTTTGAGTTTTGAGGGAGCCAGCATTCTGTGGTAGTTTGAGCCAAGTTCAAATCCTCACTTGGACATGGAAGTCCAGTGGTCAGGAATTCTGGGAGCTGAAGTCCAAAACCCCTGGAGGGCCACAAGTTGTGCAGGCCTGATCTAGATAGTTACACATGGAACTGCACACATCTTTTGGCTCCAATGAAGGTACTTAGCTTTCTTACTCTTCACATTCTCCTCTTTGGTCTTTGTGGTGGATTCAGACAGGCATTCTTTTCACACAGCACTAGGCTCTTTTTGGGGCAATGAAAAATGAAATTCTGGTGTAGGTTGTCTGAAAGCGGTTGCATTACTTTTATGAATCCAGTTACTTTGTAGTTTGATGAAGAATAAATAATTTTAGTATTTGTTCCATTTTGGAGCTTTTCAAATATAATTTGATAAGATCACATAATTCTACCTATCTCAAAAACTTATCCCCTATCCCATGGAAGAACATTAGTGGGATTCAATTAAATGTTTTACTAGCATAAGACAACTGGGTTATAGACTTTTAGTCTGGGACAGATACTGATTATCAGCTGAGCTCTTCCCTCCATGTAAGCAGTGGATACATTTGTATTTGGAGTATAAAGTAGTTATTATTCCCATTAGATCTTGATGGTAATTAATCTTAACTTTTCTGGGCTCTTTGAGAATGGCTGGGGCTGTTGAAGTGAAAACTATAAGGCGCTAAGCAGATTAAGTGATTTAGGGTTGTTATTCAGTCAGCAGACAAAATAATCACCACAGGTAGTTTATTTCAGGGCAGTAATGAGAAAAGTGTCCAGTCCCCTGGCTCTCCTCACACAGCTCAGGGTAGTGCAAAAACTGCTCAACTGAGTTACATTATGGCCTGCTGGGATCATGTGTTCTCACATGTTTCTGTAAGTACAACTAAACAGTTAGTCCCCCAAATCTCTCTTCCTCCCCCAACCTTCTTTAGGGAAATCTCTTTTACAAATCCTTTGCTACTCTCCAGTTTAAAAGTCTTTCTATGTCTAGTTAAATAACTGGGCAACGGAATGCAACTGAAAATATATGCTTCCAACTAAATTGGAAAACAGACAAATAAAATAAAAAATGAGGCTTTCAAGTTGAAAACAAACATTTTATGATGTTGGTATCATAAAGGGGACTCAGGGTGGCTTACAAACTCTAGCAAAAATTCAATGCCACATAAACAAACAATAAAAACACACCTCATCAAACTATAAAACAGTTAAAACATTTAGAATATATGGGAAATTAAAACTCACAGAACAATAAAACAAATTAAAAACATATAAACATATAAATTGCTGAGTCTTGATTTCATGCTTATCCATAGCCATTATCCAAAATCCATAGTTATTATTCAGGCAGTTGAGGTTGAATTCCATAACACTCTATTCTCCAAATGCCTGTGTACAAAGCCAGGTCTTTAGCTTTTTCCTAAAGACCAGGAGGGATGAGGCCTGCCTGATGTCACTGGAGACGGAGTTCCACAGCTGAGGGGCCACCACTGAGAAGGCCCTGTCTCTCATTCCCATCAGTCACACTGGCAAAAAGGGTGGGACTGAGAGCTGGACCTTCTCAGCAGATCTTAAAGCTCGCACTGGCTCATAAGGGGAAATGCATCCATACAGGTAAGTTGGACCATAACTGTTTAAGACAGTGCTTCTCAATCTGTGGGTCCCCCCTATATTTTGGCCTCCAACTTCCAGAACTCCTAACAGCTGGTAAACCGGCTTGGAGTTGTAGACCAAAACACCTGGGGCCCCACAGGTTGAAAAACACTGGTGTAAGGCTTTATAGGGCCTGGTAGTAAACCAGCAGTCAATTGAGCTGATGCAACAGAGGGGCTATATTCTCCCTATATGCCATTGAAGTAAGAAATCTGACTGCCACCCGTTGGACTACTTGAAGCTTCTGGGCCATCTTCAAAGGGAAGTCCATGTAGAGTGTGTTGCAGTGGTTTATTCGAGATATAACAATAACATGGGTCACTGTGGTTAAGTCTGACTTCTCAAGGTACGGGCGCAACTGGCACACAAGTTTTAATTGTGCAAAAGCTCCTCTGGCCACCACCGAAACCTGGGGTTCCAGACTCAACTATGTCAAAAGTTACAAACATTTGACTTACAAATGATTCATAATTACAAATGGAGGTGAGACAACAGGAAGTGAGACAAATCTATCCCTAGAGAGGGAAACTGATTTCTGGAGGAGTTATCATGGTGAAAAGATGACTCCACTGAATCTTTCTCTCAAACCTTGTTTCTGCAACAAGCCAAATTTTTCAACATCCAATTATCACAGGGAGATAAAGTGTGGTGAAATCTTCTGAACAGGGGCACAGGCAGCAAAAGAAACACCATGTCCCTATTCTATCCAAAGCTTATCTATCTATCCATCTATCTGGCTGGAGTTACACTTAGAAAACATACCTGTTCTGATTTACATACAAATAAGAACAAATATACAGAACCTATCTTGTTCGTAACTTGGGGATTGCCTATATTTCTAGTTGGTGGGCTGCAGTTAGCTTGGTAAAGGGTATGGCCAGAGTATAAGTTGTGCAAGTCTATTTTTTCATACTTGCCAATGTTTTGGTCTGTTTTGTAGAACCTCCACACAAATGGCATCTATTTTTGACATTTTTTTAAAATGTGGTGGGTTACATTATCTTAATATACAATACTTGACCTACCTTGAACTGAACCATTGTTTCCTGTTCTTGGTCTTTAATATGGCACATACTCCTTGATGTAGCCAACTCATGTTGACGTTATTAATGTCATTTTTATTTTCCTCCCTTCTAATTTGATTTAGATATAAGTATGGTTGAAGGAGGTGCACTGAAAGTAGCCTGCGTATCAGCTGCAGTGTCAGATGAGTCAGTGGCAGGAGACAGTGGAGTGTATGAACCATCTGTGCAAAGGTATTTCTCTACTCAAGTTATTGCACATTAAAATTCATATATATAAGCCCCAATGAAATCAACAAAACCAAGCCTTGTTGGCTGCTTATTTGTGTGTTCCTTAGGCATGAGCATCAGCATCTAAAACACAACACAGAGAAGCTAAAAAACATAAAGGAAAAGGATCTTCTGAGGTAACAAGAGAGCATGAGTGTTAATTATGAAAAATTAATCAAGTGATGCTAAAACCAGCATTATTATCAGAGTATTATGATCGAAATACATAATGGAGACATGTAGGTAATCCAAATGCCTAGATAATTGATAGAGAAAGTATCCATATAGAAGTGGAGTGGTCACCATAATGAATAAATTTAAACATCTGTAAATCATTGTAAATTTTATAATAATCAGGAGTTTTGCCTGACTTGGTGAAATATTTAGTTTGAGTGTTTTTTTGTTTTTGCAATTTAAGGTTTTGTTCTCTTGTTACTTCTGAAGGTTCTTTTCTCCTCAGCACCAGCAAGTGACATGCCCACGCAGCTGCCAGGGCCCGTATATCCTGTATGTTGTCCATTGAGTCAATTGCATCTCCCTCCTGATGCCATAAGGAAAGTCCCCTATTTCACTTCCTGGTCAGGGTGGGGAATGCCCTTTTTGCAATGTCCTTGTCCATTGTGTTTTGAAAAAGAGATGAAACAAGAAAGCTTCTGGCCAAAGAGTACTTTTTCATGGGCCAGCTATTTAGAAAAAGGAAAGGCAAAGTTCCTGTTTAGCAAGCTCTCCATGCTGCAGGGTGTCTGACATTCACTTTGTGCCAACAGCAGTTGCTGCTCTGTGTTCAACTTTAAAAAGGCTTCCCTGTGCTAAATCTTCTCTCAAGTGTTGTCTTAAACTGTTTATATGCTGGGGAAAATCTTTTCCACATGAACTTAATAATGCTATGCCTACTTAAACATGTTTGATGTCTTTTCAGGCCTTGTGTGTCAGAAACCATTTTATTTGACAACAGCGATGCAGACGAAGCTAGGACTGCTAAAGTTCAGATTTCAATGAAGTAAGCTAGGTGGCTTCTCCTTTTCTCTCTCTCATTTTTTCAATTTGTATCCTCATTAATTCTTGGCATTTCTCCACAGTGGAGTGTTACATGCCTTGCAAGTATGTTTCACTGTCGACATTTATGTCATCACTTTCAGATGTCAGTTCAGGTAGAAAGAATATTTTCAGGTTGAATATCTGTAGTGCTGATGAAAAAAAAACTGCTGGCTTGTTGACAAAGCCTACATGTACAGGTCTCTTCTCCTTTAAATATCCCTTATGCAAATGGTTGGCATTTTTTTTAAAAAAAACTTACATAAATTAGTTGCCTACTCTGAATAACCTTGTTAAGATCATGGTGTGATGAAGTATGTTAACATTTTGTTCATTTGAAGGGACAGGAAGTTAAGTTACATTTCAACAGTCCGATCTGGAAGGCTGGTGAATTCCTGAATTAAGAACCATATATACTTGTATATAGATCAAAAGAAGATTTGGAGGCCAAAATGATAGAATTTTAATATGGCCCATGGGTCATTCTACAGACAGGGGAATACACTAGCACTGCATATGGTGCTAACCAACTACCCCTGGCCATCACAGCCATTTTCTTGCCCAGTCATTCAAACATCTCAAAAGTGGTGCCACAGTGGAGGGAGTAGAGAGGGTTGGTACTTATTTTAGTTTCACCTGGGATCGACTAAGTTCTCACCTTTCACCACTCTAGCTGATTTTTTTCATGTCAGGGGCGATTTCGAAAATTGCAAGTCGCTTCCGTTGTGAGAGAATTGGCCAACTGCAAAGACGTTGCGCTGGGACACCCAGATGTTTTGATGTTTTACCATCCTTGTGGGAGGCTTCTCTCATGGGGAGCTGGAGTTCCCAGAGGGAGATCAACCCGCTTTCTCCAGATTTGAATTGCTGACCTGTCAGTCAGCAATCCTGCCGGCACAAAGGTTTAACCCATTGCGTCACCAGGGATGACACAGAGAAGGGGATGGCATTTTTTTGTTTAATGAGTTAAGGTACAGAACATTAACAGACCTTGTGGATAAATCCATCCAAGAGATTTTGGGATGATTTTTTAACTAACATTTCTAATCTTTTACATAAATATATAGAATAATTCTAGTCGACTGGGGCAGGATACAGTAATTTTATCTTGCCTAAATTTTTAAACATATTCTTACACCCCACAGACTTAATTACATTATTTGTAGTTTTGCAGTACTGTTTGTGGATGTGCACTCAGAAGTAATCCCTGCTGTGTTCTGTTTGTCCTACTTCTAAATGAACTTAACCCTTAGAAAAATGTTAGATCTTAAGCCTGAAACTTCAACAAAGTTTTAAAATACTGAGAAACGTTTATGTGTTTTAGTCTCATTTTATTATAATCAATAAACAACTGGCCTTTCTCCTTATTTTCCAATTCAGGTATGATGACAAAAACAAACAATTTGCAATATTTATTGCACAGGTGAATAATGTGCCTACTCTGCTGCCACAGCAAGACCAGAAAGTGTAAGTAAGTGAAATGGCATATCAAAAAGCCCTGTGAAACAGCCTTCTGGCTCTGTTGATCAATTATTTTATACAGATACAGACTTGAAATCGGACACAGCTATTATTCTATTACTTTTGATGAAATTAATGTGTCAGTCTGAATTCATCTCAGCCAAAAAAATCTCCATGTACATGTTTAGTTAGATCCTACTGTCATCATTTGCAGTGCAAGAATTTGCTCTTTTGTCTTTAGTGACATAACATGAAACATTTCCACCACCACATTCCCTCGGTGACATCAAAGCACACTTTTCAGCAGACTTTGCAATAATGTATTGTTTCAGGTGCTAGGAGCATAAACCCATCATCACTTTTGGACCAGTATAGTCTCTTGAGAGGCAAAGAAATCGTAACAATTGCTGAAATTCTATGAATTATATCAGGAGTGAAATGACAGGAGAATCGCTGGTGGGCCATTGAGTTAAGACCTGATCTTCTCTATTAGTATACTTATGCTGTAATAGAGACAATGCTGGCAAGACAATATTGCAGGAAGATCTTGATGTGGAAAAGTTAGTAGCAGCGGGATAGAAATCTTGTGGCACTCAGCTGCTTACTTTTCAAATGTTTTGATGTTTTACCATCCTTGTGGGAGGCTTCTCTCATGGGGAGCTGGAGCTCACAGAGGGAGATCAAGCCATTTTCCCCGGGTTTTTGATAGTAGTAGGGAGTGGGAGGAACAATAATTGAAGTAGAGTTACTCTTGCACCTGCACTCCAAGGAAACCCCTCGCCTCTGCAAAAGAAATAGGCAGCCTGGAGCCAGCAACCTTTTTGCTGCAACAATTACTGCCTCCACCTCCCTGCACTAGCCTGAGGAAACTCACCCTCTCTTTAATATCTTAATGAAGGGAATTCAGATAAGCTAGTGTTCATAAATGTTACTGAGACTCTTATCACTTCTGTGGGCTCCTCCGTGAAAGTAAATGTTCCTGATGTCTGCTGTATTGGTTGCTGTAATTCTTGTTTCGTTTTACTCTTTTAAAAATAACCAGATGGCATTTCCGGTGCATATCTGATACCTTGGACTACGCAGTGACAATTCCCAGCACCAGCAATAACATTCCATTCCTAGGTTGGTGTGTGGCTGTATGGCCATGTTCCTGAAGCATTATCTCCTGATGTTTTGCCTGCATCTGTGGCAGGCATTTTCAGAGGCCATAGATGCAGATGAAACATCAGGAGAGAATGCTTCTGGAACATGGCCATACAGTCTGAAAAACACACAACAACCCAGTGATTCTGGCCATGAAACCTTTGACAATACATTCCATTCCTAGTCAAATATTTTTTTAAAAAAACCCTAGGATATATTACAATAAAAAACCCCAAGGAATACTATGATTCAAGACTTGTGATCTCTATCATATCAGATTCCTTCTTCCTCATTGCTTGAAAGGGCAGCGTAAGCACAACTATTTCCTTATAATTAACATAAAGGATTTTGAAAGCATTGTTCTTTTATAAAGAAGGCATGTTAATATTGGGCCTCACATGTTGAGCCAACAGAACAAAAACACTGATTAGATCTGAATGTTGATTGACTAAATTTCCTTCTGTGTCATGAAATTATAATTAGTCAGGTAGCCAACAATGTTATAAAACTTCCTTCATTTCCACTGCCATTGCCTTTTAGAGGGTCAGATAAAAAGTGAATATCTCAGTAAACTGAGTGGATGATGAGCTCTCTTGCAAGAACTCTCACTTCTTTGTACCAATCCGGAAGATCCCTATCTCTGTGCAAATGATGTGGAAAGGAATCCAAGGGAAAAATTGGATGTGTTCATATACCTTTTTTTTTATTGATTTATCACTTTATTACATACTATTACATTTTGTACATCAACCTCTTTAACATGTTATTTTATTATTTTACTCTGACATTTCTCCCCCTTTTTCTCATTTTTTTTTCCCCCTTTTTTCACCACAGTGCTCCCCTCCACCCATTTCAAGCCACCCTTCTTACATTTCATCTGTCCAAAATTTCATTTCTTCTTGTGACGGTAATTTTCCTTCCTTATTTTTTAATCCATTTACCACAAATCTTCCCCATACAGCATCAAAATCGCTTTGTTTCCATATACCTTTTTTAACCTTTAATATACATGTCAATTTATCGTTTATTGCTATTTTCCATGCTTCTTTATACCACTCCTCTATTTGTATATTCATTTCTTTTTTCCAATTCCTTTCTATAAGCAGTCTTGCTATAGTTAGTAAGTTTGTTATCGCTTCTTTATCCTCCTTTTTCAATTGCTTATCGTTATATAGTGATAGTAATGCTATACTAGGACTTTTATCTAATTTTATATTCATTATAGTTTCTATTTCTCTAAATACTTTCTCCCAAAAATTATTTACATATTTACATTGCCACCACATGTGTATATATGTTCCTGGTTCTTGACACCCTCTCCAACAATTTATTGAGTTATTTTTATTCATATATGCTATTCTTACCGGTGTCAAGTACCACTTCCATATTAACTTGTAATAATTTTCTTTAACTCGTATCGATAAATTTTTTAAATGTCTTTGTCCCCATAATTGTTGCCACTCTATTTCGCTTATTTTTATCCCTAAATCTTCTTCCCAAATCTCTTTAAGGGTGCACTTTTTTGTTTTTTCATCTTTCATTTCAATTAATATCTTATAAATTTTGCTAATTATACCTCTCAAGTTTTCGTGTTCTTCTACAGTCCTTTCCTTCTGTATTATTTGTTCGAATTGACTGAGTTGGCTTTCACTTCTATTATTTTTTTTCCAATTTATTACCCATTGTTCTAATTGTATACAATGAAACCATGACAATTTTATTTCTTTAAACTCTTCCAACATCCTTTCCCTCTTCATTTCCACCTTCATCCAATCCCCTATCCTATCTAAATTTATTTCCCTTACCTTTTTATCCATTACTTTTTTTAAATTTTTTGGGAACTTCTTTTCCATCACTATTGGGGTTATAATTGATCCCTCCTTTATTAACCTCCCCTTATATTTATTCCATACTTTAAGTATATTGCTCAGCATTGGGTTTCTAATTTCCCATTCCACACAATCAAACGCTTTAAAAAATATCTAATGATAATATCCCTGCTTTTTCTTTCCCCTCTTTAGCCCAATGAATTTTATTTAGTACTCTCCCTATCAAATTTGACATTTGTCTTCCTTTTATAAACCCGCACTGATCTTCTTTTATGTACTTATACATACATTTATTCATTCTATTAGCTATTATCGCAGACAATATCTTTGCATCCTGATTAATTAATGATATGGGCCTATATGACCCTGGGTCTGTTAGGTCTTTATCAGGTTTAGGTATTAATATTATTAATGATTTCCTCCATGATTCGGGTATTTTATCTCCCTTCATTGTTCCATTGTACAATTCTAATAATTTTGGGGTTAAAACTTCTCTAAAGCTTTTATAATATTCTGTCCCTAGACCATCCAAGCCCGGAGCTTTGCCAACTTTTAATTTCTTAATAACTTCCTCTATTTCTTTTTTCTTAATAGGTTGTTCCAGTAATTCTTTATCTTTCTCTTCCAGCTTACTCTCCCAATTTTCCTCCACATATTTCCTAATTGCCTCTATGGGACTTGCTTTGGTTTGGTACAGTTCTTTATAAAACTCTTCAAATACTTTCAATTTTTCTTTCATAGCTCTACATAATTTACCTGTTTTATCTTTTATCATATTTATCATTCCTTCCATTTTCTTTTTCTGTGTTGATTTGGCTAGCATCTTTGAATTCCTATCACTAAACTCGAAATATTCCCTCCTTAAATAAATTAAATTTTCTTGTACTTCGTCTATTTCCATTTTATCCAATTCCTCTTTTTTTACTCTTAGCCTAGCATAAATTCGTATATCTCTCTTTATTACATATGCTTTTTCAATCTCCTCTATTTCTCTTTCTAAATTCCTTTTCCTTTCTTCTTGCCTTCTTAAGTTAATTGTCTCTTTTATGCATAACCCTCTGGTCACTGCTTTCATAGTATCCCATAGAACTCCCTTTGTCACCCCCTTTTCATTAAAACCCCAAATTTCTTGCCATTCTGCTTGCACTTTATCTAATATTTCTTTGTGATTTAGTATTCTTGTATTTAACCTCCACCTTTTCATTTTGTCATAATCACATTTCAACACAATCTCAATTGAAACCAAAGCATGATCCGAAATCTTAATCATACCTATATCAGCATTTAGTACTTTACTTGTCATATTTTTGGAGACAAAAATATAATCAATTCTTGTATACACCTTATGTACCGATGAGTAGTATGTATATCTACTTTCATTCCCTTTTACCAATCTCCATACGTCCTTTAATTGCCATTTATTCATTACTCTACTTAATTCCGTTGTTTCAATATTTCTAACTTTTGATGCTATCGTAGTTTTATCCTTCTTTAAATCCATACAGCAATTACAATCTCCTCCAAATATTACATTTTGTTGATGGTAATTCTCTATTTGCTCTAACACTTTTTCATAAAATTCTTGCTGTTTTACATTTGGTGCGTATACATTTACTAATACATATTTTTCCTCCCCTATTTCCCCATATATTATTATATATCTTCCCTCTTCATCTTTCAATACCTTGTTTATGACAAAATTACATTTCTTAGCTATTATTATTGCTACTCCTCTTGACTTTGATGACCCAAAAGATTTTTCATAGTTCCTTATCCAGCTCGACTTTAGCTCATTTGAGCCCCGCTTATTTTGATGTGTTTCCTGTAGGAAGATGGCGTCCGCCGCGTCCTTCTTCAGTAGAGATTCGATCCGCCTTCTCTTAATTACCGTCCCCAACCCTCTCGTGTTAAGTGTTGAAATTCTTAATTTATGGGACATCATTTCCATTTCCCTTTAAAAGCTTTTTTGTGGCTTGAAACAACGTGAACCCTTGCCCCTTTCCCTCCCCTACCCTTTCTCCCCATTCCCCCCTCCCCCCAATCCCCCCACTTCCCTCATTCCCCCCTTCCTCCCCTTCCAATCTTCGGGACTACTCGTCCCAATCATGGCCCCCGGCCTTCCCAATTGGGGAGGGGGGGGCGAAGTCATCCCGTGGCCCAGAGTCTCCCTCCCCCCGAGTGCTCATTTTAATTCAACAAAAAAACTTGATTGCAGTGTATAATTTCTTCTTACATCTCGATTCCTCCAACGGCACCAATTAATTCCTCCAATTCTCCTCCATCCGATCCTTCACCTCCTCTTCCTTTCGATCTCTCTCTTGTCTTCTTACTATGCCAAGCTCCTCCAGTAATTGATAGCCTTGTTCCGGTGTATCAATTCTATATCTCTTGCCTTTCCATTGAAATTTAAGAAAGATAGGGTATCCCCAGGTGTACACAATTCCAGCTTTCATTAACTGCGTCGTAATAGGCTTCATTGAATATCTCCAATTCTTAGTTTCAGAACAATAGTCATTAAATATTTCCAATTTTGAGTCACCCATCTTTAGGAAATCTGGATTTTTCTTTAATATTTTCATCAAATCTTCTTTCTTTGCGAAATTGTGAAATCGAATTATTATGTTCCTAGGAATTATTCTATTTCTTCCAGCTGGAAGGCGATGAACTCTCTCAATATCCAGTTCTGACCAGCTTTAGTGTTGGCGAGATCTTTTGCAACCATTTCAAGATCTCAGATTTCAGATCTTCTTTCTTGTTTCCTTCTGGATAGTTTTTTATTATTACGTTATTTCTTCTTTGGTTGTCTTGCATGTACACAAACTTTCTTTCCATGTCAGAGAGCCTATTTTCATTTTTTTGCGTTTGTTGTTTGAGTACCAGTTGTTCCTGTGTACTTCTTTCAATTTCTTCTTTATTTTTTCGTATTTCTCCCTGTGCAATCTCCAGGGCTTCTCTTATTGTCTGAAATTTTTCATCCTGAGCTTTTTCGTTCCGCGTCCAACTCTGCTCTCATTTGTTTATTGCTGGTCAGAATTTCTTGCTTCAATGCCTGAATTTCGCCCTTCCTTATTTCTCTTTCTTTATCAAACATCAAGTTCAAATTCAAGTTCATTTCCTTTGTTTGTTTTTCAGCCGTTTCTTTAATCAATTCTGCTATTTTACTTAGCATTTGACTGTTGCCCATCCCCAATTCTTCCCCCTCACTGCTCATTCTGCTTTCTTTTGGCTCTGTTGTTAAACATGGCAGCGAGGTAGAAATAGTTCCTCCCCCTTTTGCCCCCCCTTCCATTTGAGGGGGGGTTTGGGGGGGTGTTCGTTTTAACTGCTTTTTAATTGTGGGGAGGGGAGGACTTCTCCTAACAGTGCTCATTTCCTCAGGGACCCTTTCCAGTCTTTCTAATCTTGAAAGCGATCTGTCCGAAGGTTTGGAATGCAACCAAAGAGGATTTGGTTTTGAGGTATCCTTACTTTGTTTATTCTTTCTCATTCAACCTCAATTTCACTCCTCCTGCTTTCATCAATTTTTTAATTGCTTTGTTTTCCCGTTCTACACAGCACACAGTACAAAAAAGTCCCACTCAGTTATGCCTTGCAATGCCAGGAGGTTCGCCTTTAATGTAACGAGACTGGCTCGATCCTTCTTCAAAGGAGGAATCTGCCTCTAATATTTATTTTGCCTTCCGGATCATTAAGTCATTAAATCCAATATTTTAGTATTTTAATATTGTATTTAAATTACAGCTGTTTATCTTCTCCAAGTCTTCTCCAAGTCAGTGCGCAGTTATAATTGGCAATTTGGTTTCACTTTCACCAGCAGCTTCCAAGCCATTTTTCGGCAGCCGCCCTATCTTCTGCCAAAGCTCATAAATCAAAGCAAGTAATTGGTAATAAATTACCTTCTTAGGCTCTCCACGTGCACCAGACTTTCGCCTCCCTTTTGATCCAGAAAGGACAATTATCCATTCATTTTCACTGCTTTTTTGCTATATTTCCACAAGAGCTGGAGGAAAGACGTCTGTTCAACCGGCCATGGTAACTCCACCCCCCCCCCCCCATATACCTTTTTCCACACTGCATCTTGTTCTTATATAATCCCGGTCCTTGGAATTAACTTAATTATGAACACAGTTCTATTACTGAAACCGTACAGTAGGTTTGAACTTGACGTGTTTGGTAAATCATTAAAAATAATTCCAACAGAACTTTGTTTTAAAAAAACACAAAGTTTCAAAATCATCGTAAATGAATGGAGAGTATGCAATTCGTTATTCATACTTCCACAATGCACGAGAGCAATGCCTTACCCAGCATTACTCTAATACTTTTTCAACAGGAGCATTCGAGTGGCTGTTCTTCCTTCCTCTGAAAGCACAAGCTGTTTGTTCCGCACAAGACCCATGGAAACATCAGACAATCTCATATTCAATGAATTATTTTGTGTTGCAATCCCTCACTCTGTTTTACGACAGAAGACACTAAGAGTTGATGTCTGTGCTGTTGATAAATGCCATCTTGAGGAATCCTTGGTTAGTATTCAATTTTACTCATGTTTTAAAGGCTGGGTCCAGATCTGGATGTGTGGAACTGGTTTAGTAGACTTCAAACCCTCTTCCTTTCCATAGCAACCCCTCCATTGCCTTGAAAATGCTTTACAAAAGGTCAGGATGTCATGCTGAATTGGGGGGGGGGGAGTTGTGGCACAGGATGAGTGGAGATGGGAATAGCTGAATATCTGGCTGACGAGCCTTCAGTGAGTGGAAACCTCCCATTGCTGTAAGACAGGACCTGGGCTAGTACAAGTAGACATGGCTAATACAAGGTCCAAGTCTAAAGCCTTAGTGTTTAGATTTGACATTTTAACTGATAGAAACTAGAGTTTCTATATAGTTTTTAGTTTTAAAAAAACCTCCACTTGATAATGTGTTTTCACTAAAGATAGAAATAATTGTTTGGGTAAAGCACACATTTTAAGGGAAGGAAAATGCACATGTTGCTGAAGGTTCTGTATTTCTCCCAGCATTTGTTTTTGTTGTCATTCAAATGCTCTGAAGTTGCCCATTGTGGTTTCTAATTTCTTCAGGGAGGTGCACAAATTAGTCTTGCTGAGATTTGCAGATCTGGTGAGAGGTCAACACGCTGGTACAACCTTCTCAGCTATAAATACCTGCAGAGGCAAAGCAGTGAAAATAAGCAAGAGGATCTCTGCTCCAAACTACCCTGTAGTGAAAAAACGGTAAGGGCTGGTGATTAAAGATGTTTCCCACAAGCCTCGGTATGATATGAAAGACTTGCATGGCTAAAATTGAATAACTCAAAGGAAGCATGATGATAGGAGTTTGGCTTGAACTATGCAGCAAGCTGGTAATACACACTTTTCTCAGTTTGGTGAAACTTAATGGACACTAAGAAGTAATAGTATCATTAACTCATTCTCTACAGGACTCTGTATCTGCACTGCTGGAACAGACGGCTGTTGAACTAGAAGCCGTAGAGAAAAAATTAGAAGAAAGCAGAAGCACTTTACTTAGTGGAGAGAGCTGGTGAGTGGCATGGAGCTGTTGTACTGCAGCACTTTGGGGCTATGTCTTCTGTAGCCTTTTATGATTGTGTTAATGAGAACAGGTTTAAATTAAAGGTAGTGCCATGTGGTCAAAGAGTGGTGGTGGTTGTTGTTGTTGTTGTTGTTGAAGTTTCACCCTGCAATAACAAACTCCAGTTGGGAACAAACCTCTCACTGGAAGTGTTTATATTTCAAACTATTTATCATTATGTAGAAATGAATGTTACAAGCAAGTTCCTGGGGAAAAGAGCTATATGTAGATAGGTTAGTAGTTAAGATTGAAAACAGAGTCAAATAATACTCATATATTTTAGTAATAAAACATATTTCCTCACATCCTAAGACCCATCTCTTTCATATATATTTTTTGTCGTGTCAGGAGCGACCTGAGAGACTGCAAGTCGCTTCTGGTGTGAGAGAATTGGCCGTCTGCAAAGACGTTGCCCAGGGGGCGCTCGGATGATTTGATGTTTTATCATCCTTGTGGGAGGCTTCTCTCATGTCCCCGCATAAGGAGCAGGAGCTGATAGAGGGAGCTCATCTGCCTCTTCCCGGATTTGAACCTATGACCTGTCGGTCTTCAGTCCTGCCAGCACAGGGGTTTCTGTGCCACCGGGGGCTCCTTTCATTGACCTGTATAAATTAGATTAAAATTCAGAAATACCCTGAACTATATGACAGGGTGCACTCCTAACTTTTGATCATTTTTGACATAAATTGAATATATGAATCCAATTGCATTGTACTTGCATGTCACATCAAAGCTTATTCCAAACAATTGATATTTGGAAAATGCTGGAACTGGTTTTTTCATGTTCAGGTTTTTTCTGACAGTCCTTTTGTGCTTAAGGTCAAATGAAAAAATTGGCAAGCTAGTCTCTTATTGTCCTTTCTGGCAGCATTTAGATAGGGTGGGTCTTGCACTTCAGTAAAACAGACAGACAATTAGCTCATTCTGAATGCTCTATTGATCACTGTTCAGGCCTTTTTGGGAGACCAGTGTTGCATTTTGGATGGCAGATGCACCCTTGTGTTTTATGTGACATTTTAAATTAAATGGCTTTAATTAGGTGTGAAACATTTGTGACATCCTCATTGATATTGATATGAAGCTTTTCATGCAGTTGAGCTGATAAGTGACAAAATATGGAAGGTTTAATTTTGTTTATGGTTCAGAGCATTTTTATGAACCTCCACATGATTAATGTATGGAATTAATGATTAATGTATGAAATAGATCATGATATAGCTATTAACTCATGTGTGCTGTCACCTGTGTCTGTCTTATTGTAGTGTACCATATTGCAGTATGGCATATCTCTTGTTGCGTGCCTTCCAGTCTTATGACAACTATAGAAAATCTGAGCATACACATTTGCATTCAAGTTTGGGACCTGTGGTGTTTTGGAATACAAATAGCACTGTCAAATACTTCTAAATCTGGTATTTTGAGTGTGTGCTGCATATTTACATACCAGTTTTCTTACATAACAGGCAAGATGAAGAAGATGCTGAGCAAGATGACAACAGTGAAAATGAAGCAGAAGAGGAGGAAGCATTTTATGGGACGAGAACAATATGGGAAGGAGAAGAGACAACATCACCCTTGTCATATGCTGAGCCAGCAGCCATCAAGGTAAAGAAAGCACTAGAAAAGTACAGTTTCTTGTAAGCAGGTGATTACAAGGACAAGCTGACTAAAGCATTGTGCCGTTGCTGCAGTGCCCTTGCTTCCCCTCTAACATGATGAGATTGAGCTTACCTTTTTGTTTTCTGTCAACCTCTACAGTTATATTTTTTACTGGGCTTTAAACTTCGCGTTTAGCCATAGACTCACCAAGGAAATACTAGAATTTTATTTGGTATGATCCCCTTCCCCTCCCTTTGGCATGTAGGGCATAAGAAAGAGAGAGACTTCAGTGGTGTTGGGTCTTGTTTTCAACTGCAGCCTGCAGCTTGTTTGCTGAGATAGTTAAGTTCCCTTTGCACCACCTGTAAATTGCATCCAGGATACTCTTCCCATCATGTGAGCTGTCAGGCTCTGAACCAGATGAAAGTCACAAATACACTGCTAAAAGAGAGCTGCCTCAAATCTTGTTACTGATAGATAGCAAATAATTCCAACAAAGTCTGGTCCTTGGACTTGTCAGATACATTATTGTCAAAGAATGTAGTGTGTCCATAAGTCTTTCTTGGCACAAACCAGTATTTGCATAGGCAAAACCAGGCTATGTTCATGCTTCTCTGCACAGTTATCTGTTTTCTCAAGCAAATTCAAAAAGCTGGTGAACAGGCTTATATTTCCATACTAACAGAATTACCAAGAGAGTTCCTCTTTTATTTCATTGTATTATTTATCTTTGCAAAAATATCCCCTCACCTTAAAGGTGTTCAAGTCAGTAGTAATTTCATCTAACTTCCACACTGTGCTGAGCTCTGCATTTTAAACAAATTAAATACCATGTAAAAAACTGTGATTTTTTTCAGCTGGATGTATGTTTTCATAATCCAGCCCTTGTCCTTCTGCTTACCCTTCTATGATATTGTTTATTTCATTTGATTAATTTATTTCATTTATACTTTGCTTTCTCCCAGCATGGTATCCATAGAGTGAGCTTTGTATTTGGAAGCTTGATGCTGTTGTGTTTCCTTAAGCATCAGTAGCCCTCTGATCCCCAAACCCCTGTTTATGAAGGAAAATGTTAGATTTTATAGGACCCAATTTACACAGAATCAAACACATTTAAAGCATTGAAATGAATAGCTATAAGCTTAAGCAGATATAAGCTAGGTATTAATATGTATCTATATGTTCTGTTTCATTCTTTGATTTCTTTTGTGGCTGAATCTTCTAAAACAAAGCTCATCAGTTATGATACCTGCCTGAAATGGCCCCTGGTGTTGGCATAACTGGTGAAGAAATGAGAGGAATCTAATGCAGGAGATCTTAAAACTGTAATGCAGATTCTTGGTACTTGGGGAAGTCTACTCTAATGCATCTGTGTGTTCCAGGTGGATAAAGAGACCAACACAGAGAGCCTTTCACAATCTTCAACTGTAGTTCGCCCAAAAGATAAAAGAACACCTAATCCTCTACGGACCCCTTTTGTTCGAGGCAGCACTATCATCCGTTCCAAAACCTTTTCTCCAGGACCACAGAGCCAGTATGTGTGTCGGGTAAGGAAAGTAGCAACTGTGGTTGCTTGTCTGTTTCTTCATTTTAATTATTCTATGAGAAGTATGTGAGTTGCTCTCTTCAGTTTTTATTAAAGTTTGTGTGCTTTGATGTTTCCTAATATGTGATTAAATGCTTCAAGTAGATAAAAACGCTCTTTTAGCGCTAGTGTGCCATGTAAAACAAGAGTGGCTGGCTTAAAGGTCTTGAGAAAATACTATATGCAAACTGCTCCTCTTTCTACATCTAAAGCTGTCAAACAGTCCCCATCCTCACTCAATTGAGTGCACATTTTTATACATATTTCGAAGCCTGTCAAGATTAGTTGGTTTCCATTGAGGAACCCTTTGAAAAAAAAATCTTGAGTGTTTATGTGTCCTGGCTGTTGATGTAGATAATCAAGGATGCTTTATTTTATTTTGTTATTTTGCATTAACCACAACATCAAATATAAACAATTAATAAGTAACTTAGATACAGAATAATTCAATGTTCATTCTTTGCACGGATGAAGTTAAAAATGAGGGCCCACATTCTGATGCACAGGCAGGCTATTTAGTTTGCTCAGCAAAGCATTTAAAGGAATGTACCACTGAAGCCTCTGCTGGTTAATGTATTGCATACAACTATTTCTGTTGAATTCTTCGTTGCTAAGCCACTGTCTCCTCAAGGTGACTGCATGACTGCAATGAAAAACAGACTCTGTGGGTAACTTAGAACTGTGCAGTTTTCAAAGCTGAAGAAAACTTGCTTGTGCATAAGTGACCGGTCATCCGAGGGCCTTGACCTAATTTCAGGAGCCCCTCATCCCTCTGCAAATGATCAGTTCAGGCCTTTGACAAGAGCACTTTGACCCTTCCCTGGAAGCCTGCTGAGTGAGAAAGAAAAGGGAGATAAAGGGAAGGGCACACACCTGCTTCTTACTCAGCTGCATTCAGCTTGGGACTTCGACCCCTCCCACTGGCAACATCTCTGTTTCCCCTCCTTGCTCCCTAAAGCAATATAACAATGCAGCTTTCCTAACAAAAAAGGCTGCCTGCCCTGATGTATAACATTGCCTGTCTTTATGCAACAAAGGTCCAGTTCAAATGTGTAGTTGCACTTGCTTGGGATGTTGTTTCCTGACAACCAAATAGCTTGCCCAACCAATCCAAGTTTAAATCTAAGTCTTATTTATAATGTTTGTTAGGAAATTAGCAGCTCTGACACACAGTTTAAGAGTAATAAATACCTGCCTGCAGAGGATCCAAATATGTATACAGGCAGTCCCTAAGTTACAAACTTCCAATTTACATACAACTCCTAGTTACAAACAGGGGTGAGAAAACAGGAAGTTAGAAGTAATCTGCCCCTAGGAAGGGAAATTTGTTCTTGTAATGGGGATCTTGGGTAAAGGAGTCTTCACAAAAGCTTTCCCATCAATCCTTGTTTCCATGACAACCCAACATTTTCAAAATCCAATTGTCACAGGGACAGAAATTGAGGTGAATTCTGAAGAGGGGCACAGACAGCAAAACAACTCTTCCCTATGCAATCTGAAACAAAAACAAACACAAATTTTTGAATGGAGTTACACTTAAAAGATGTATCTGTTACAATTTACATACAAATTTAACTTAAGAACAGGCCTATAAACTCTTATCTTGTGTGTTACCCAGGGACTGCCTGTACTTTGTTCTCTGAATTTTAGGGAATTTACTGATTCCAGCTCAAAGATTGTTGTTGCATTATTCATCTGCTGGAGCCTCTCAAGAGTTATCTCTACTGCCAGGAGGTTTTTATTGAATGAAATACAGAAAAAAATAACCCGTTGTACATGATGAAACTAGAAAGTAACAACTGACTCAGTTGTGCGTACTGTAGAATTTTATTTTAAAAGTTACAAATGTAGGTGATACGCAGAACGCACATATTTTTCCGTCTCTCCTATACTGGAAAAGGAATTCAAGCTCCAAACCTGCATACTTAATATGACTACAGTGAAGACCTGAACCAGATGAAAATGATTCTCTATTGCTTTCTTCAAGCCTAACATTTGAGCAAAGCAGCAAATAGCAAATCACATCGGTGAGACTTCTGATAACTGTATTGCAACTCAATGATGAAGTGCTTCCCAAAAAGACTGTCTCTTTTATAGAGGGAGGAAGATACAGAGGAAAGTAATGAGAAGTTTGGTACCATTATGATTTCAGACTGCAACATATGTGGCCAAGCGTGAATGGATCCAGCGCATTGCAGTTATGTATGCTCAGGGCCACTTCTTCGATGAAATTGTTATTCATAATTAATTAGTTCCAGGAGATAAAGAGAGACTATAAATAACCACTCTTTAGTGCTAGTCAGTGAAGCAAGACAAGGAAAACACGCTGTCAGGAAGTTCCTTTCATGAAGCAAGGGCTGGCTGATTGTGCTGAGGAACAAGGTGTTCCTTCTGCCCATCAGGGCTGCCTATTGCTTGGTTGAATCACAACAAGACCTGATACACTTAGTGCTTCCCAATCCAGATACTGACAGACTCACCAGCTATCCATTTTCCCTTGTGATTTAGCTGCAAGTTGAACTTTCCACAATAGACTTAGATCTCTAAATTGCATCTTTTTTTTTTTTAAAAAAGGACAAGCCTTTTGGCATCAGGCCATGAAACAAATAGCACATGACAGGGGCATTCAGGCATAGCAAGATAAATGGATGGCTCTGTACAGAGAACTGGGGAAGCACTGAAGGGTTACTGCATCTTGCTTCATTTACCTGTTTTGAATGCAATGCAGTGTGCCTTTTTTAAAAGGAGGCTTTTAAAAATTAAAATACTATTTGTCTGGTAGGTGAAACCTTGGGGATGGGAAGAGAGAAGTGTGAATCTATTTCCTCCTTTTCTAGTCCTTTTAGGTTAGACAGTTCCTTAAATCACTAAAAGCCTTTTGGAAAGAGGGCAAAGAAACTTAGTATAGGTTCCAAGGCACACACAAAAAAAATTCACAGATTCAAAGTGCGTCTCTTATAATCAGCCACAGGAAAGCTAGGGAGTGGGATTCAAGGAATGCAAAACTCTTATTGTTTACTGCTGTCCTAAATGGACTGCATAAATCTTTATGGATTGTACCACTTTCAAGTATATAGATTGGTTATATTCTTAACTCTGAAACTAAGACTGAGATCCTACTGCTGGACTGGTATAGAAACGTTGAGGAAATCAAGAGAGTAGATGAAAGTGATAATAGGTGGGCAGAGAAGAAAGCAGTGGTAGGAACATGTGCTTGAACTCTCTTTTCCATGAATATTTAGCTGCAGGGGTTGGGGCAATCCATGAAACTAGCTAAGGCTCTATAGGAAAATCACTGCTGCCCTCCTTCTGTGAGGGCATTTTCAAACCTCTTGGATAAGGGTCACTTCTGGATCATTCTTTGGCATAAGAGATCTGTCACAATTTAAGGCACACATGTCAAATGCAAGGCCTAAGGCAAAATCCAGCCCACCACATCATTTTATGTGACCCATGAGACTGTCGATGCCAGGGCAAAATAGTTATATTTATATAATCTTACAAATACAAACGGCTCTTGGAAGGTAACCATAAGGTTGATGTGATCCCAGTGAAAATAATAATAATGAAAATGATGATGATGATGATGATGTTTCATTGCATTTTTGGTGAACTTTCTAATATTTTCACAAACTTTTTTAATTATAATAATAATAATAATAATAATTATTATTATTATTATTATCATTATGTTAAACTACTCTGGATGTAGACTAGATCATTTATTTCCAAATCCTATCCACCCATTCTTGGAAGAGTACTTAGCAAGGCAAGTTCTACAGAGACGAGCTATTCAATCCTTGTATTTATTAGCACCCAAGTAAAATACACACAAATTCATTATTTTGCAAGTAATTCGCTTTCACAGAGCACTTTCCCAGAGCAAGAAGGAAATGCTAATTTGGTTACTGTTTTTGGATGGAAAAGGAGACTGAGGGCCTGATTCTGGCAGCCCAAGAACAAGCCATTAGAACAAATGCCATCAAAGCCAGAATTGAAAGGTCAACGACAGATCCCAAATGTAGACTCTGCAAGGAAGCAGATGAAACGATAGATCATATCCTCAGCTGCTGCAAGAAGATCATGCAGACAGGCTACAAGCAGAGGCATAACACCATTGCTCAGATGATTCATTGGAACTGGGGCCACAAATATCATCTGCCTGTGAAAAAGAAGTGGTGGGATCATAAGCCTGAAAAAGTTACAAAAAATGAACACATCAAACTACTCTGGGACTTCCGGATTCAGACAGACAGAGTTTTGGAGCACAATACTCTTAACCTCACGATCGTGTTAAAAACAAAGTATGGATTGTTGATGTTGCAATCCCAGGCGACAGCAGGATTGAAGAGAAACAACTGGAAAAGCTGGTACTATATAAGGATTTAAAGATCGAACTGCAAAGACTCTGGCACAAGCCAGTAAAGGTGGTCCCAGTGGTGATCGGCACACAATACCTAAAGACCTTGGCCTGCACTTAAACACAATTGGCGCTGACAAAATTACCATCTGCCGGCTGCAGAAGGCCACCTTACTGGAATCTGCACGCATTATTCGCCGATACTTCACACAGTCCTAGACACTTGGGAAGTGTCCGAAGTGTGATCCAATTCAACAGCCAGCAGAGGGTCTGCTTTGGACTCATCTTGTTGTGTTTCAAATAATAATGACAACTTTATAACCTGCCCTCTCTCCTCAAAGAGACTCAGGGAAATTTTACAGAAATAACAAAATGGCAAACATTCATTGCCAAAAACCAAATAGTCAATCCAAGCAAAAACTTAAAGTAAACTCAATATATTTGATGTGGGCAAAACGTCAGGAAAGAATACTTCTGGAACATGGCTGTACAGCCCTGAAAACTCACAGCAACCCATTGATTCCATCCACGACAGCCTTCGACAACAAACTCAATATAACTTATAAACACTCAAAAACAAAGGTCAAACTAAATAAACATAATAGACACAAAAAGTCAAAACAATTAATAAATGAATTTGATAGTTTTGAGTTAAGGCATTCAAGATGTGTAGTACAGGCTCTCTTGGATAATGATTTGCTAGGGTATGAGAAGTTGCCTTGGTAATGGTTAGAACCTTAAATTAATACATGAACGATGTGCAGTGTGGGCATATAAGAAGCTGCTTTTGTCAAGCTATGGCTCAGCGTTGTGTGTTTCAAAGGTAGCCAATTTCCGAGGGGAGGGGAAAATTCAAGATGGCACTGGGTTCCACTGAATCCATCTGTAGCTGGTGCAAAAACCAATTAATAATTCATCTTTATAATAAGGGGCAAGGTTAGTGCATACCTTGTTTTCATTCTTGATAGCATTTCTCTGATGCCATTGTGAAGACAATAATTTGCTCTATTCCCTAGTTCCTTCCATTGCCTTTGTCATGATCATTCTGGCATGTTCTTCTCTCAAAGGAATGAGCTTCTTCCAGAAAACAGATGAGTAATCATTCAGTATCAGCGATAACAGCTTGCTCACTGCCTGTTGTTCATTTCTCTTTTCAGCTTAATCGCAGTGATAGTGACAGTTCAACATTGTCTAAGAAACCGCCCTTTGTTCGGAACGCTGTGGAGAGGCGAAGCGTCAGGATGAAAAGGGTAAATACTTCCCTGACATGCTGTCTTCTTTTTCTTATTTCTATTCTTTTACATTTTTAATTAAGAGGTTTATCAGTTGCATCCCCCTGCCTGCTGTGTGATATATAACAACATTTCAAGAAGTCTTTTTAAAAAACCTTTATCACATAAAAATACAGGAATAAACACAACATGTCTCATGAAAACCTTTCATTTATTTTTAAAAAAATACCATATGTGATTTTGTAAGATAACATAAATTTTCAAGATTTTTGTCATTTATGAGTAACAATACGGAAATGTGTAAAATATTTTAATGGTATAATACTAATGAAATAACTATTTTAATGAGATAGATGTGATTCATGGGCTAAACACAGGTTTTGAATATTTGGGAGGATATTAGATAAAGATACCCACATTTCATCATCAAACATTCTTAGGTTTCCGTGTTTCAGTTGTATTGCTAATTTCACATAGACTCAGGTTTCTTGTTACTTTTGTGTGACATAATGTATATACTGCATATGACACAAAGATGTTGTGACACAGTTTGGAAAGCTCTGAACTAAAGGATCACCATAGTAGTAGTAGTAGTAGTAGTATAGTGTTTCCATGCATTCCACCCCTGAAGTGCTGTACTAATTTTGCATATTACATATTCCCAGCAAGAATTCTTGAAATGGTTCACTGTCAGTCACAATTTATGTATCTTAAGGTTTCTGTGCCAAGGGTAATGTCATTGCAAGGCATATAGCATGTAGTTCTGAATTGTTTTGGAAACTTTTGTAAAATGAGGAAGCTAGAAGAATGATTACAGGGATATTATTTTGCGGTTGATTTTAGCTACTACATGTTTAATATTTTAAAATCTTACTTTAAAGAATTGGTCAACTCAACATACTAGTAAAACATTTTTCCCTTTCAGTCTTCTGTTAAAAGCATTGGACATGAGCGTCTCATCCGTACTTCTCTGGATCTGGAACTGGACTTGCAGGCTTCAAAAACGTGGCACAGCCAACTGGTGCAGGAAATCTCAGTTCTTAAACAACTGAAGGAGCAATTAGAACAAGCTCAAAATCAGGGGCAAAAGGAACTACCACAGTGCATAGATGAGGATGAACGATTTCGAATTTTGATGAGGCTGGTGGAGAAGCAGGTAAATGTTTTGGGGACCATGGGCTGATGATTATTCCCAAATTATCAGGATAACAGTAGGATACAGTACTTGGTTATTTTAAAAATGCTTTTCTACTTGTACTAAAATTTCTTTTGATCTTTTGGAAGGTTTTGCAGCATTATCACTTTTAGTTGGCTTTAAAGCATATTCTGACTCCTCAATAGGTCTAGCCAGAATAAAAGAGTGACCGTTTCCTGCACACTTTAGCTCCATATTAGTATAACACATGGCTTGATGAAGCAGCTCATTCACTTGGATAAGAATGCCCTAAAAGCAATTTGTACTTCCGTGGACGTACACAAGGCAAACTTATATGGGCTGTCTTGTCCTATGGTCAAGAAAGTAATATCTGACAAGATTGTGTGTCTGATGATGTTAACTGCTTTGGGTAAAGCCAGCAAAGAGGTAGAATATATATGGCTATAAGGAAGGCCCTTTTGCACTACATATTTATATTTAGCTTCCTAATCCTCTCCTCGTTGACACATAAAAGTGTACTACTTGCAGACCTAATTACCTATTTTCTATCCAATGATACTTAGCATAAAACAAAGTTTCTTTCCCATACATAAGCCCATTCCTTGCTGCTTGGAAAAAATACTCTTACCCCCACCCCCACCCCCAGCGGAATCAGAGTAACATGTCAGTTAACAATACATGAAATAATAATAATAATAATAATAATAATAATAATAATAATAATAATAAGGAAAGCCAAGAACCTGCTTTAATTGAAGTCAATAATCGGAAACTTCTCAAAGCACAGCAGACAAAGAACCAGTACAAGAAAACTGCACTCCAAACCAGAGCTGACAGCTGGCACAACAAAGCATTGCATGGGCAGTTCCTTGAGAAGATTGAAGGAAAAGTTGACAAGGAGTAGACCTGGTTATGGCTCACGAATGGAACCCTGAAGAAGGAGACAGAAGGCCTGATTCTTGCAGCCCTGGAGCTAGCCATCAGAACCAATGCAATTAAGGCCAGGATTTAAAAATCAACGGATGACCCAAAATGCAGACTGTGCAAGGAAGCTAATGAAACCATAGACCATATTCTCAGCTGTTGCAAGAAAATCGCACAGATGGACTACAAACAAAGACACAACTCTGTGGCTCAAATGATTCACTGGAACTTATGTCACAAGTACCACCTGCCAGCAGTAAAGAATTGGTGGGATCATAAACCCGCAAAGGTCATGGAAAATGAACACACAAAAATACTGTGGGACTTTCGAATCCAGACTGACAAAGTTTTGGAACACAATACACCAAACATCACGATTGTGGAAATGAAAAAAGGCTGGATTATTGATGTCACCATACCAGGTGATAGCTGCATTGAGGAAAAACAACAGGGAAAACTTAGCCGCTATCAAGACCTCAAAATTGAACTGCAAAGGCTCTGGCATAAACCAGCACAGGTGGTCCCAGTGGTCATCAGCACACTGGGTGCCATGCCAAAAGATCTCAGCCGGCATTTGGAAACAATAAACATCGGCACGATCACGATCTGTCAATTGCAAAAGACCACCTTACTTGGATGTGCGTGTATCATTGGAAAATACATCACACAGTCCTAGACGCTTAGGGAGTGTTCGACTTGTGATTTTGTGATACGAAATCCAGCATTTAGATCTCGTTTTCTGTGACATACTATGCTTTTGTGTCAGTAAAATAATAATAATAATAATAATGATAATAATAATAATAATAATAATAATAATAATAATAATAATAAACTTTATTTATACCCCGCCACCATCACCCCAAAGGGGACTCGGGACAGCTTACATGAGGCCACGCCCATCAATACAGAAATACAATATAACACAAAAACACAACAGAAAGGCCTGTTGAATAACATCAATACTCCAATCTTTGTATTTCCCTTTTCATCCCTTTAAAATCCATATTCACCTAGGTTAGTGTCCAGATTGTGTTGTACTGTTTATCCTAGATATTGAATACATAGTTGCAAAAATCATAATGTAGGCATCATATATTAGCCATAATGCTAGATTTGACTCTGGATAATGTGGTTTTAATAATTGTTTTAATACTGTTGTTGTTTTTGTTTGGATTTTAATTGCATATGTTCATTTTATTGTATTTATATGTATGTATGGCAACAAATTGCTGCCTTTTGTGAGCCGTTCTGATCCCCCTGTGGGGTTGAGAAGGGTGGGATATAAATGTAGTAAATAAATAAATAACATCTAGACCCACAACATGTTTGTGGGGACTTTTGATTTTACCCAAACTCTGTGGATTGGGAACTGGATGGCATTCTACTGCTTTCACCCTCATTTACCTCTGTAGTCGATCACATGAGTGCAGTAATAGGATCAATCTGACATTTGCTAGTTCTAATGCTTATCAGTGTCCCTAGCATATTTATGGGAACAATGGTGGCCGTAACATTGCTTAAGCTGTCCCTATCTTTTTACAACACATGTGTTTTATGGCTCTACATAAATCAGTCTTACCTGATCGCTCTCTGTTGAACATGGAAATGAAGTTCTTTGTCTTAGAGAAAAGAATGTCAGATGAAACAAAAAGCAATTGTGTACTTATTGAAATGAATGTTTCCATTCCTCATTTTCTTAGATGGAAAAAGTTGCATGTAAATGTGAGCAGAAGGCAGATAAAATGATGAAAGCAGCTGCTAAAGATGTGCACAGGCTGCGAGGTCAGAGTCGAAAGGAACCCCTGGAGGTGCAATCATTCAGGTAGGAAAACACATTGCATGCTTTATTTAAATGCAAGATTTACTGCTTTTTATATAACCTCATTTATCAACACCATAAAAATCTGTAACTGTAGGAAAACATTAGTCACACTTATTGTCATGGCCATTTTCTGACAATAAGTGACAACCTTGCATGGCGTTTTCTTCTTTAAAAGGCCTCTCCTGTGATGTCCTTATCAGGCATTTACAGAATACATGCCTCGTGTTTTCAGGTACCTTTGTTTAAAATGAAAGACTTACCTAGAACACTCTTGTGTGCTTACCAAACAGAAAACAGTGAGCTTTGCTAAAATGCCTTTCACCATGGTTGCCATTCATTAAAATTGAAATATATTGACTTCCTTCATCTTGAATTACTGTCTCTAAAGGATAGCTGTGTTACACTGTTGCCAATAAAAGAGGGAACGGTCTTGTGCCTCGCTAAGACAAGAATATAATTACTGTCAGTGTCTTCTGCACCAATTTTAGCACTAATCCAGCTGCTTAAATAAATAATAGCTAACAGTAAATAGTTTTAGAGAAAACCTATGTGAGTGCTACAATCTGCTAGTTGTGATACAAAGCGTGCTCTCTATTCATATCATTGTTCCTTCAATACCCACAATGGAGCCCAAGCCAGCACTGGAATTGTATGATATTCTTCCTCTTTCCCCTCCTCTAATCAGTTGAGGGTATACACCCTGCCAATATAAAAATGAAGGTCATAGTTACACTGCTTTCTCTTGTTAACTGTAATGTAACTTAGTTGTGCCTTAATTATTGGAAAGGGGATTGGTAGAAGTAATTTAATTGTCTATTTACAAACTCTGGTGGAAACTAACTAGTCATAAATAGGTTTTTCTTTGCCTCTTGAGTTTTAAAGTGTCTTAATCTCATTAACAATCATATTTGTGTGTTTTTTTGTAGAGAGAAAATGGCTTTTTTCACGCGACCAAGGATGAACATTCCAGCTCTTTCTGCAGATGATGTTTAATGTCTATTTAAGTATTTCTTTCTCCAACCACTTCAAAAAATGTAATTTCATTTCACTGAAGTTTATTTATGTATGTGGCATTACAAAGGTACCAAGTCATTTGTACATTGATGCTTTATTAGCTCCGTGTTGAGACTTGTAGGTTTTCCCACTCACTGCAAATGGCAGCATTAAAATTAGATAAGTACATAGTTTGTATATTTAGCATATTTTTGGGAAGATTTTTTAAAATATGAACAAATATGGCTCAAAATGTTGTTTAAATAAGATTCTGTTTTAGACTTTTTGTACAGCTCTCCTTTTTTAAAGATATTTTACCACAATAAAACTTGAATCTGAAGGAGCATCAATCCAGTGATTCTAAAAACGTAACCCCACTCTTATAAGTAGCTATTGTGATCTTAAATATTTTTATACAAAGTAGAGGATGAAAAGAAGCCATTTGTTTTGTAAAGAGCTGCAGACAAGTGCTCTGTGAGCTATGAAACACTTCCATTTCCTCCTTAGTCATAAAATGGGTGTGGAGTTCAAAATGCCTGCTGCACTTTAATTTGGAGGTTGTTACTTCGGCTCATTGTGTATTTGACCTGAAAACGTCCCAAAAGCCCAGTGAACCCTCTGCTACAGGGAGAGAGCTGCAGGGGCATGCATTAAAGTTAACGTATCTGACCACCCTGAAGTCAAATATAATTCCTACTTTAAAAAAATCATTGTGTTTTCTAAAAGAAAGCAATCCTTATATAATTCTACTAATTTAGAAAGAGCAGCAACATTTTTTTTGAAAAATGTTTTTTAAAAAACCAGAGTATTCTGACAATAATGTTATCTTGAGCTGTCTAGCATACTGAAAAAAGTCTGATTATTTCTCCTTTCCTTATTGGGAATGGAACAACTAAATTGAAGTGGTTTTCCTCCTACCACTTTTGTAAATTTCTAATAAACATGCAACAAAGCCTTGTCTAATAGTAATACTGTAACTGTGTCTATAAGCCATAGTTTACTGTCCTGTTAGTTTTTGGATTTTCATATCCACCTCGTCAACCTTAGTAATCTGTCTGTTGTATCTGTGTTAACACGCAAGCACTCCTTTGTTTGCAGACTCACTTTTAGATGTACATGAATAGAAGTAACGTGCATGCGCACAAACACAGACTATTCAGGCAGTATATCCTAGAGTCACAGAGTTGGAAGAGATCACAAGGGCCATCCAGTCCAACCCCATTCTACCAGGCAGAAACACACAAAGCACCCCTAACACATGGCCATCCAGCCTCTGCTTAGAAACCTAGAGAAAGCTTTCTGCCTGGTACAAGTCTTAGAAGAATGAACTAGGCTGTGTGCTTTTGTAGCACTAGTCTCTTGATAAAACTGGTGTACCTAAAACAAGTTGGATCTAGAGAAGCACCAGTGGAAAGGAGCAGGCAGAGGTTCTCTCCCATGCCTTTGTCTTGTTTGAGGTATATTATGCAACCCTCCTTGGAACTAATAATCCTCTCTCAAAAAGATATTCCACCTTGACATGAAGCGATTCATTTTCCCTCTCTACTCCAGAATCTGCCCCATTCAGGAGGTCCCCTGACCAATGAGAGATGTTCCAAGGAGCTGCTGGGAGGAGGAGAGGTGTGAGGTTCTGCCCATGCCCTGCAACCAGCAATTCTCTTAATCTGAGCCGCATGCCTTTTAGATATCATGTTAACTATGTTCCATCCAAGTAATATCTGGTTATTTTTTCTCCTCTTGTGAGAAGCAGAGGTGGAGAAGGGTCTGGGTTTCATACTGGGCTGAGTCTCTTGGATTGTAAGGCTTGTCCCTTCACCAGCAGTCCTTGCCTCTCAGGTTCCCTTTTCCTTCAACTGTTGCCAATTCAAGAGCAGAGAACAGCAGGCACAGGAAGACCAAGGCCTTAAAGGTCCACAAACCAGGATGCACCTTCAGGAGGAAAGCTGACAAGTGTTTTAAAACTGGAATTCTCTTGAGATGTACATATTTGTTTTTCATGTATAAAACACTTTAATAGGCCAGCACTAAATGACTGAATTTATATCTATTTTAAATTTTGTCAGGATTAACAAATTAAAATTGCTATAGAAATTTACATGCCTAACTGCTGTGTCTTTTCTGTCTGTGCATAGGAAAGTTTTATTCAGAACGTTATCAGTGCATACGGTCACAGATATATACACCTATATTGACTTTTTAAACTTCCACAATTTTGCGTTAGGGAAAGAACGTTCTTCGGGAGGTCTAAGAAGTTTCGTGAAGTGGAATCATAAATCCATGTGATTTTGAAAACATTTTGGTCATTTTAATGGGGATTTATTCTAGAAAGATATACTTGCCTCCTGGGATGTTTCCTTTTACTGCAATAATTGTTCCCAGAGCATTCTGATACTTTGTTTTAAATGCCAAGATTGGCCTTTGTTGCCTTATTAATCCAAGTACAGTACTACAATTCAGACATTACTATTTACATTTATTGAGTCAAGCAAGCATCCAACCAGGACAAAGTGAGCAAACCTCCCCATCTTCTGAAGCGAGGTCTTCGAAGCTACTTACTTACTTACTTACTTACTTAGGCGATCCCTCGTTGGACGAGTAAGATGGTCTTCCTTATTTGTTTTTTTATTTTCTTTGGAAGATGCCTGTGCGTGGGTTTTTTTAATGTGTGGAGGTCAGTGCACAACTGATCAACACACAGTCTTCACAGAGTGAGGTTCCACTGGTGATGTAGTTTGACACAATGACCGTGGCTTCTCAATCTGTTGCAGCCTTCTTCCGCCTTCACAGCCGTTGTAACATATACCATGTTATCCTCCGCCTGCTCCGCCGTTGAGGTCTTTGAGTCTTCGGATTGTGCTTGGTCTGGAACCTCCCCCACGGCCACTCCTGGGAGTGCACGACTCCAGCCGTTGTGCCCACAGGTTCATTGGAACACGCAAGCCCCCTCACCACGACAAGGTGACAGTCCATCTTCGAAGCTAAGTAGTATAGAGGCAAAATGGATTCCTGGATGTGTGGCTGGAGTGGGGATGCTGCTTTGATGCAAGCCATAATATTTTATCCATTAGTCTCTGGAAAAATAAAACAAATCCTCGTAACTTTGAGAACTTTGCAGATCATGGAGAAAGATGATCAAGAAGTGCAGGGCAGCCACAGCGTCTTTTGAAGATATTGTAATTTATGGCTGGACAACAACTTGGGATCCGAACAGCGACTATGTAGCAACACCTGGGGGAAAATATACCTTTTTTTTCAGATCTTGAGTAAAGAATAAATGTGGATTTGCAGCCCAGCTAAATTCTGACGACCCCTAGTGCACACACAAGGCAATGTGGGGGGTTTTGGCCAAGGTTTCCCTAAGCTCTGTCTTTCAGACTGGTCCCAACATTATGGTTGCTGAATCAGTTCCCAGGTGAGTATGAAATTGACATTTCTCCTCTTTCCACCCACATTCTGCCATTAATTTTCAGAGCACTTACATTTCTAATAATATATCCTGCCCTGGAACTCTAAAGTATGCCAAGTTGCAAAACAAGAAGATACTACGAATAGGAAATACATATTTATACATTCAGAATGTTGGAACACTGTGTATTGAGATAGGGACTTCTCTCTCCTATTCCTTATTTTATTATTTGAAAATAAAAAAAATACTGATTTGTTTTTGCCTTTTCAAGTTACTCAGTACAGAAAATATATATTCACTTCTGCTTTTCGGTTTTTGCTTCACCTAATATAATGCCTGTGCAATATAGTGGTTGGTGTGTTGGACAATGACATGTAGACCAAGATTCAAATCCCCATTCATCCATAGAAACCCACTGGGTGATTTTGGCCAAGTCACACTCTCTCAGCCTCAGAGGAAGGCAGAGACACTATTCCCCCATGAATAAATATTGCCAAGAAAACTCTGAAAGATTTTATTTTGGTTCACTATAAATCAAAAACAAATTGAAAGCAACACAACAACAATTAGCCAAACTCCACTGAAGATTTTGTTTTAGAAAGCATTGATGTAGGAGTAATAGGTTATCAGGGAACTGTCCGAAATCCCATGGTTTCATGTTACTACCACTGGTCGACAAGTGATTTATTTATTAAAACACATGACACTATTAATTATAATATGGGAAGAGTGAATGAGAAATGTCCTGGCATGCATATTTAATTTCTAAAAAAGCAAACAGTCGGATGTCCACATTATTACCCCAGTAAGCATGGTCTGAGCTGGGTGCAAAGGGTTGTATATTCTCTAAAATACTATAATTAACACATTGTCATTTGGAAGCTAAGCCCAACAGGCTGAAAGGGATGATGCCTGGATAATTTTTAATGAAAGTAAAGCAGTTGTGGGAATTTCTTAAAAACTGGAAGTGTGAATATTCATCATCATAGATCTCATGATTGTGCCTACAAAGAAAAAGAAAAAATCAGATGGTTGAGAAATATCAACAAACCAATCTAGCAGTTCTTATCTCTGCCAAAACCAGGTCTTGTTTCAAAATTAGCCCAACAGTGAATCTTTATGTAAGAGTTATACAGGTTTGGTGTGGAAAAATCCATTTTACCTCTGTTATGAAAATGACAAGTGAACTCAGAAAGCGAGAAAGTAGGACGGTGCAGGACAGATTATGGCATGATGCTCCCTGTCCAATAAAAAAAACGAAATCCCAGGTCTCCCAACAGCTCCACTCCACTTTTGCTGGCAAATGATGTCATCATACTAGAAATGAAGACTGTCAGTTTTCTGGCAGTATTGCATCCATCTTACTAACCACACACAAATTAAGCAGAGCAATATACATTTCAGATGGTAGCTGTTCTACATAGCACAGAAAATATATGGCACTGAAGAAAAATCCAGTGAGAGAAACCACGTATCTTCATCAGAAGTGCTACTGGAGTGGTTTCTGAGGCTCAATCACATCCCTCCTCCAGAAATCAAAAGAAATTCCCAAATTGCTAAATGAGTGGCAGAGATAATAACCCCTTTGCTTCCTGATCACAGTGAACACTAACTTCATTTCATGCACAAGTTGTATGTAAAATTATGTTCAGTCTAGGTATATAGGTGAAAAATAAAAAAGCCATGTTTAGTTGGATCCTATGTCCAAGATAACTCATTACGTGTAGATATGGGTATTTCAAAATTCGAAGCACAATTGGTTCCAAGCATTTCAGAAGCTGTTTCACTTTTGAGAGGTGGGTGGTGCAGCATCACAGGAGAGTGGGCACGTCCGCTTGCACCACTATTGCTCACCTTGCAGCAAAGCAAAGCATGTTTCCCTTGTGGCGCATTCTAGCAGTGGTACATTTGCTGCCATGAGGCCACAGACTTGGCCCACCTGGAGCACCCTTCCATTGGCTTCTCTTGCTCCAACTTAGGGTGCATCTACACTGTACAATCATTACAATTTACACCACCTTAACTGCCATGGCTCAGTCCATAATTGTCATGCAATGGGCAGTGGAAGAGAAATGATACGTTGGTGGCTTAAATCCCAAATTTCAATGATTAAGTACTTTGCTCATGCAATGTTTCTATTGGAGGAAGGAAAGACTGGGTGTATTTACACTAGAATTAATGCAGGTTGACACTGAGGGCCTTCTCTGCAGTTGCCCCTAGGCCTCTTGAAGTTCCCCATGAAGGAGATCAAAATGGCCCCATCGCTGTCCTCCTTTAGGAAGCAAATAAAAACCTTCTTAGGTTCCCAGGCTTATGGAAATGTGAATGGTTAAAGATCTGGCCTTAATTTGTTATTATTGTTTCTCTTGTACTTTGTATGATTGTTGAACGTGCTGTATTGTCCATTAGAATGCTGTAATTTTTTATGATGGCATTGAATGTTTGCGTTTTATGCTGTGAAGTGCCCTGAGTCCCCATGAGGTGATAGGGCGGGACAGAAATAAAGTTTTACTTAGGTAAAGGGAAAGGTTTTCCCCTGACATTAAGTCTAGTCATGTCTGGCTCTGGGGGCTGATGCTCATCTCCTTTTTGTAAAGAGCTGGCGTTGTCCCTAGACACCTCCAAGGTCATGTAGCTGGCATGACTGCATAGAGCACCGTTACCTTCCTGTCGAAGCAGTACCTATTGATCTACTCACATTTGCATGTTTTCAAAGTGCTAGTTTAGCAGAAGCCGGGAGCTAACCACAGGAACTCATGTTGCCTCCAGGATTCGAACCTGCAACCTTTTGGTTAGCAAGTTCAGCAACTCACTGGTTTGCTTACTGGCTTATTCTAATTGATGTGGTTCAGTATTATGGATTTATGGGAGTTGTAGTTTGTTAAGGCACCAGCTCTCTTGGACCGAGAAAGCTGAAGATGGTGTCAAACTACAACTCCTGTAACCCCATAGCATTGAGCCGTGGCAGTACAAGAAGTGTGAAACTGCATTCATTCTACACCACACATAGGCAAACTTTGGCCCTCCAGGTGCTTTGGATTACAACTCCCACCATTCCTAACAGCCTCAAGCTTCTTCCTTTTCTCCTTTTCCACTTAAGCAGCTGAGGGGGGAAATGCTGTTAGGAATGATGGGAGTTGTAGTCCAAAACACCTGGAGGGCCCAAGTTGGCTCATGGCTGTTCTACAGTGTAAATGCATGCTTAGTTGCTGGTGATCTGTATTGCAACCACAGTCTGTGAGGCATGGAAGCAAATTAATAGGAACCTATTTCATTTTAGCTGTTTCTCTTAGTAGAAATGAATTACCCCATGTATAAATAAATGCACTACTCTGTACTGAGTAAAGTAAAGGTTTTCCCCTGGCATTAAGTCCAGTCGTGTCTGACTCTGGGGTTCGTGCTCATCTCCATTTCTAAGCTGAAGAGCCGGCATTGTCCATAGACACCTCCAAGGTCATGTGGGCAGCAAGACTGCATGGAACATTGTTATCTTCCTGAGCGGCATGTAAAGGTAAAGGTTTTCCCCTGACATTAACTCTAGTCGTATCCGACTCTGGGGGTTGGTGCTCATCTGCATTTCTAAGCTGAAGAGCCGGGGTTGTCCATAGACACCTCCAAGGTGATGTGGCTGGCATGACTGCATGGAGCACTGTTACCTTCCCGCCGGAGCAGTACCTATTGATCTAATC